TGAAACTGGATATTTGACTGCTTGTCCAATGGGATAAAAGGTTTCATACATGGTCAAAGCATTTTCCTTGCCCAGAGGCTTTTTGAGAGCCTGGGGCTTCTTACAGTGCAAGACATAGAACTTTGATTTTTCTAGCACTTTCCCCCGATTAAGTAGCTTTAAATGAACTTTATGTCCACAGGTCAGAATTTCTTAGGAGTGGCTAATGACATCTCTTGTTCTTAGCTAAAAAGAAATAGAGGAAGGAAGGTCAGCCCATTGCCTTCTCTCCTGGCCAAGGCTGGCTGGTTTCTAAGCAGATAAAACATCTCTTCATTCAAAGCAGGTCAAGTCTGGTTTAGCATCCTGCTGATAAATGCTCTGGAGACAGGATGAAGGTGGGAGAAGGACACTAAGCTTTATATACAGAAAGGTTGGCTGCTCTTTTTGATGTTTCACTACTACTCCTCACTGTGTCATGGAAAGAGGCTTCTGTTTTTTTGGAGAACCAAGTTTTAAAAACAAAAAGGAAAAATAGGAAAGAAAACAATTCAGTATTAATTAGACTCCAGGTGCCTTGCAGATGTGGAAACACAGCTGGGATTGCTGCCTCTTCTCACTCAATGGCATGTTGGACCGAATGGGTGCATGTTTCTAGTTTTGTTTTTCTTTTCCCTTCCCCTTTCCTTCTGTCTTTCCATTTAATTACATTGTGTGATTATTTTTTATCTGTTTTATCCTGTTTGTGTGATGAGTTTTAAAGGGGAAAAAAAAGTGAACACAATCCTGTAGCTGAATCCTTGGTGTGTGTTTGGGATGAGGGAGGGAGCATGGAGAAAAGTCCTTCTTTAAAAAAAAAAACAAAACAAAAAACAAAAAAACTGAACATGTGTAAAATCCTGTATCATTTATGAAATATGTATAAAAGAGCAATGTACTTCTGGAACAATAAATAACTATTCAATTTTTGAACGGGTGCTCTTGAATAATGTTATTTTCCCCAGCTGAGAAGAGAGTCTTGCCTGTGTGGCAGCTCTGCTGAGTTTCCTCCATTTCTTTTTGTTTAGGTTGTTTCTTCCTGCCCTTCCCTCTGTGAGGCCGTGGTGACAGAGCAGAGCTTTGCTGGAGGAGCTCGGATGGAGATCCTGCTGCCATGCCTGGCTGCCTAACACAGGGATCTCGGGAGCACTTGAGGTGCTCAGGTGGAGGTAGAGACACTTGGTCTAACAAAGATGTGCCTTTGTTTGGCCAACACAGTAGCAGGATAAGAATATACCCCCCAGCTACCTAAAAAGGGTGTCAGCCAAGTGGTGTCAGTATTTCTGTGTTTCCTTCAAGGGCTGTTTCAGAGGAAAGTTGCTGAAGTTTTAAGCTTCTGCTCCTTTCTTTCTGGGCCCTTGAATGGTCTGATTTGTTGTGGTAGCATATGATTTGTATATTAACTTTGGGAATCAGCAACTGTACTTTGTCCTGACTTTGTGGTGTTGGGATGAGGTGTTTGGTGCAGGTTTCTATCGTGTCCCTCAACTGCTTAAAAAAATATAATACCCATGATTGGCCAGTTTTTGAAAGAGCCACCTTGTGTTTTTTGAAGCTGGAGGAGAAGGACTGGAAGCTGTTGTCACCTCCCTTTAATCACAGCTGACAGACCTTCTTCCTCCAAGCAGCCCTTAGCCCTCTGCTGTGTCCAGATGAACTGCTGCCATGCCTATAGAAATTGCTTGGCTCAGTTGCATAAAAGGTCACCCATTTTGGCATCCAGAAGAACAGGAGACTCATGACACCTGGCACCACAATCTCTAGTTTGAAAGCAAGAAGATGCTGTGACAAAATTGTTCCTGCACATGTTTAATGTTGTTATAGAGACAATGTGGGAGAAGGAAGGAAGACAAGAGTCTGCAGTTGTTCCCTGAAATCCAGGCTGTCCAGCAGGTCTTGTTAGTCCATATTCCTGAAGATTTTGCTGTCCCAGTGCACTGTGGTCTCTGCCAGGTGTGGATGACATGCCATAAGCCTCCCACTCCCATCTCAGTGCCTTGGAATGCCAACACTGAAGGGAAGGGCAATGTTTATTTGCTCTCCTGCTCCGCACTGTTAAATCTCCACAGGAGCACTCTCTCTTGCAGCAACTCTTTCCCCTCTTGGAGCCAGGGAGGTGACAGGGTCCTGCACAGTGCTACCTGAATCTTAATGTCCCCCTGCATTCTTCAGCCCCTGGGAGAGATGAGCAGCAGTGTGCATTGCAGTGTTCAGGTGCTGCTGCTTCTGCCAGCTTTGATACTCTTTTGATGAACCTCTTTTGTGAGGGGGACTTTCAAATACATGACCAGTTTGAAGTTGTCTGGAGAGCTGTACTAGGTTTCCTTTGCTGTGCCTGTGAGGCTCTACATTCCAAGGCTCTCCAGGGAAAGGTGTTCAGGGCTCCTTTTTCCTGAAGAGAAAAGAAGAAACCCCTTCTCTTTTGCCCTCTATCCCTTCCTGCCTGGCAGGCAGCCACCATGATCCACCTTGCTGCAAGTTCCTACACTTCCATGTTGGCTCTAGGAGGGTTTTGCATGATGCTCTGGAGCTGCTCTTGGCTGGCAGACCTTGGCACTGTGCCACTCGAGTGGAGCTGGCCAAGTTGCCCTTTCTTTGAGCCAATGGACCAATTTCTTTGATATCTTCTGAGGTTTTTCTGTGAGTGGAACTGTAAATGCGAGCTGCTTTCCTCTGTGCCACATTGTACGGCTTTATTTTCACACAGGAAGGAGATTTTTGAATCTTAACTATTCTGCTACCTATCCCAAGAGATTCTCATTACTTCCTTTAAAAAAAAAATCAGATTTACTTGTATAATGACATAAAAGGGGTGAAAAGTAAAATACAGGAATGGAAATCAGACTTGAAGTATACCTAAGCCCTGAAGTATGGGAGAAGCTGGTCTTAGGATGTGACTCTGTGAGCTTGTATGCCCTAATTTCTCCATCTGAAAATTGAGGATCATGGAAAATACACCGGGTTCTGTAGGACCTGTGGAAAAACACTCCCAAAACAGCAAGCTCTGCATCACAGGTCTGCCCCAAGAGAGAGGAAATAACTGCTGCTCTTCACTAGGGGTGATGTACTTGTCTGATTTTAATGGGCCCTTAATGTTTTACTGGAGTTCACACTCATTCTCCCTTAAGCTTGAGTTTGCTCCCTGATCTCCCCAGCCCTTCCCATTGGCCCCGTGTCCTGGACACGTTGTTTACAGCACCCAGGCCTATCTCAGAGTCCTTGACTTTGGTGCAATCCATCTCAGCAGCCTGTCAGGGCTTGCTGTGACCCTGCATCCTCAGATCCTGCCCGTGGGCCGGGTTCTGCTCTCCCTGGGGCAGGAAGTGCTGATTAGCTCTTCCTCCTGCTGCTCCTGGGCAGGTCCCTGCACTCAGAGCTGGGCTCCAGCACCTCCCCTTTGCCGAGCACTGGGGTGTCTTGAGTGGTGTTTCTGACAGAGCCTCCTCAGTCAGCAGTCCCTGACAAACAGCACAAGCCTTTCCAGCCCAACCAGTGCTGTGAGGAACCTGAGTTCCTTGTGTGAGGATGGGAAAGCCCTCCAGATGTCTGGGAGGGGCAAGAAGGGTTCTTGCCACCTGCAACATGGGCGGCCTTTCTCACGTTAGGAGCAGACATACCCAAGCTTTGCAGCGGGTTTAGAACTTTTGCATCCCAAACCAAAATTGCAGCCCTCGGTTTTAGTGCTGCCTCCCCCCTCCACATCTTTTAAACAGTGCTGATGACTACTTTTAAGAAGTACTAACTTGATCCTGATTCTTTTGGGGAAGTTGGACTCATTCATCCTTGGAGTGTGGAAGTGGAGGTCAGAAACAACGGATTTGCCTGGAGACCGCAGGCCCTGGAGCGCCCCACTGGAATTGTGTCCTCTCTCCCAGAGCATCTCCTTGCAGGAAGGATTTTGTTTGGGTTTTTTTCTCCCTTTCTGCTTTCAGAAATGATTAACACAGCTCCCTGAGGCACAGATTATGTGATCTAATTCAGGCTGCTATTGTTTGTGGAGCAATGTTTGTCACCCAAATCAATTTGCAAAGCAAAGAGAAAGTGCTGATAGAGGGGTTGCCTCTGGTGCTTCTTCCCGAAAGTGTTTAGAGGCAGCACACAATCTTCTCCAGCTTGAGACCCTTTCCTTGAACTGGATGTTGTGGTGATTGGGGATAGTGCCGTCTCTGGGAATGCTTGGGCATCTCCTGCTTTAATCCATTTTGGAGAACTTGGGAGGGCCTGTTGGCAACCCCTTTGAGGCTCAGAATTGCAATGCTGCAGTTGGTTTCCCTGTGTTAATTGTCAGTCACTTACATGTACCTGTCAAAGCACGATTGTGACAGGCTCATGTAGCAGCTCCAGAACAAAAGCAGCTGGGAAATGAGATGGTTCAGAGAACTGTACACACCTGTGGCACCAACAGAACATTCCATCCAGGCTTGTCAGTTTTATTTACCCAGGACCATACGCAGGAATCAGCCTCTCAATGAAAATGGCAAAATATAAATCCCTGTGGCTTGTTGCATTACTCTCTGTTCAGTTTTAGTTTCTCCTCTGGGAATTCACAGGAGCACTGTTTAAGGGTTATCTGCCTTGATAGCTTTGTGTAGTGAATCTGTTCTCCTTTCCTGTTGTTGGAAAACCTTTTCTGGTACTGCACAGCTGTCAGCACAATAGAGCCACAAGGATTTGTTTATTTATTTTGGTGGGAGCAATGTCTGTAATTTATTTGGGTTTTTTTGTCGTTCCTCAGAGTCATTCACCACTGATAAGGGACTCCTGTGCTGGGTGGAGCAGAGGAGCACATTGTGCTTTGCTGCCAGGGACACATCCAGGCAGGGAAAGGCCACTGAGAACTTTCTGTAGTGTGCAATCCCTACGAAGCAAACACCCAGCTCCTTGTGCTGTGCAAACTCAATGTGGAAAATAATGGAGCTGCTTTTTTTCCTGCTGGGATTTCAAGCTGGCTCGTCAACCTTGATGTCATTCCTTACTCCAGCCTGCTGCAGAAATGCAGGATGCGAAGGGAATGGGGAAATGCATCCCTTGCTTGACTGTGTGATTACTCTAGGCTTAGTAACACTCATGGCTGATGGAGATCTCTTACAGCAAGAGCTGATGGGATGAGAGGGAAGATCCCTTTCCACTTATTCCCATTATCCTTGGTATCCCACTGCCAGCCATGGTGCTGGGTTTGCTTTAGCAGAGAACAGATTTCAGGGTGCTGCATCCAGAGCTTGTGGTTATCACCTCCAGCTCGGCCTTGGTTTGAACCAGTGAGGAGAGGCTCTCAATTAGTTGGGTTTGCCTGGAACTTAATTCCTTGATGTTGGATTTTGTGATTGTTGGTTTGGTTTTGTTTTTTAAAGATGAGGAGACTGTAAGACTGCTCCAGAAAAGGGTCTTTACTTGCCTTGTTTGATAACCTTGCTGCAATCAGGTTGTGTGACCAGGAGTGAAAAGGGAGCCTAGGAACAGCTTATTTCCCTGTGGGACACCAGTCTTTCACTTTGACTGATGTTCCCATTGTAGCTCTGCTCCAGGGGCTCCTCTGCAATCTCTGCTCGGAAGGATCAGTCTCCTCCTTTGGCCACCATTTCCTGCAGTTAAGGCTCTGGCCAGTGTTTTCTGCCTGGGGGACCCACAGAGTCGTAGGACTTGTGGAAGGAGCAGAGATAACAGGCACCTATCTGTTCTTCTCTTCCATGCCTTTGGGATGTCCGGGTGTCCCTGGGTAGAACTCCTCTCCGGATGAGATAGCGGAGGTGTCACTTGGGGGGCACTCAGGGCAGAAAACAATAGCAGGTCGAGTCCAAAAAACAACATTGACCAGTGAGTCCATCTCTGCTGTCAGCCAGGGGCAGAGCTGCTCTGGGGAGGTCAAGGCTGGAGCTGTACCCCACATCCCTTCGGCTTCTTCCTCTGATAAACTTCCAGGAGAGCGACCACACTTGCTCTTCTGGAGCCTTGGAGTCGGGAGCTCCACTGAGGGAAGGCTGCAAGAGCCACAGCGTGTGTGAGGGCTTTCAAGCCTCTGTTCCTTGAGCAGTGACTGCTCCTTGGCTGAGTGGGATGTTCCAGTACTTGTTTTTCTGCATCTGCTTTGTCATCCAGCTCCAGCCAGTGTCTTCGATGGGTGAGTAAAGAGCCATTGCCTTATTTCTGTTTGCCATCTGTAAAGGTTCGTGCTGAGCCTTGGTGTTCTTAAGTGAAAGACTGGAAGGTGGGAGAAATATTCTTTTCCTTTGAAGATGATGTAAAATCCTTTCCAATTGGAAAGATCTTTCTGTCACAGAGCATGAAGTCTCCTGTACTGGGAGAACCTCTTCTGCCAAGGCACTGTGGGATTTTCCTCTCCCTTTGGAGGACAGGCTTTATGAATAGCCATTATGCTACCTTTTCACCTGCTTCTTTGACAAATCTGAACTTAATTTAGTGTCATAATGCAGTGCTGCTCACTGTGTTGCTTAGTTGTGCTGGAGCAGAGACCCCCAGTTACACAATCACAGAGGATTAATCTCTGCAGAATGGTGGGCTCACAAATGCTTACTGGAGCCTGATTTGTCACCCAGTATATATGAACCCATGTCAGCTAGAGAACTAATGATATCATCGAGATTACAAATGGAAAAGCTTTGCTTCATAGCTAATGCTTGTCAGGCTGAACTGCTCAGGCCACGCACAGAGTGTTGGGGAGGAAAAGGAATTGAGCCAAGAAAAATGAAAAATAGAGGGAGCTGGAGACAGTGATATGTCTTGTGCAAACCCCCCAAGCTTTTGTTGGTTGGGGAGAGGAGACGAGAGGCTGATCAGTTTTTTTCCCTAAAAACTCCAATCAGTTTTCAGTACTCTCTGCTGCCAAGGGCTGCTGGGTGTCTGCAGGGAGGTTGGCGTGGGGCAGCACTGGCACTCCGAGGGTGGCCGTGAGGATCTGCAGTGTTCCAAAGAGCACTGTCTGCTTATTCTGCTTGTTTGCCTCCCCCTCACTCCTGCCAGAAGCTCTCAGAGGAATGAAGGATGTGAGGGAATGTTACCTCAGTTCCCCTGATGTACCTTCTTGCCAGCTCCCTTTGAGCTGCTGCATCTTCATCTCAGTAAATTTTGTCTTTAAATTATCTCCTGAATGTTTAGGACTCAACGTGCTCTCCCTAGATGAGTGTTTCCAGAGGCTGTCCACAGAGGATATTTCATAAAGTTAATTGCATGAAAGCTAATGAGGGTGTGTGTATTTTTAGTGCTGCCCAGTTGGGAAGCTGACAGGGCATTCTCACTTCACCTCATTTGGCTTTGAACAGCATGAAAACCTTTTCATCTTAGTCAGTGACTCACCCTAAGGCCACACCAAATCCTCTGGTGGAAGACCAAGGGAGTTACATTGAGGGAAGCCCAGGGGAAGCTCTGTTTGGGACACATCTTTTCCTTTTGGGAAAAGTCAAGAGAGCTTTTGGAGGATGGGATTTCCAGCACTGCTGTTGTCTGTGGGTAAGGGCAGGCAAGGAGGGGTGGGTGAAATGGAGAGCTCTCGAGATTCCCTCAGAGATTCCCTCCTGCCTTCCCCTCTCTGCTGCTCAGGAGAGCTGGGCTGGTTGTGGTGGCAGTGAATCAGCTCCTCTGCCTGTCTTTGAACTGTGGCACTGGAGATTCCCTTCCTAACCCAGATCCATGCTCTGCTCTGCAGCACTCCTGACTGTGGCAGCTGCTCCTGCATTTGATGCTGGATTTGAGGCCAAACAAGATGTGTCTGTGGCTGGGGAAGGTGCAAGGGTGCTCACCAAGAGAGATGCTGTATTTATGAGATACTTGTACAACATTCTATGTCTGTGGGACAGATATTTACAGAGGGTGCAGCTAAATAAGGGTGACTTGAAGTCCATTCTCTGAAGAACTTTAAAGTTTCCACTTTAAAATCAGTGGAGCAAATCAAAATAATGAACCAGGAAGGTTTGTGTCCAGAGCACTCTAATAGAAATAGTATAATGTTCCTCCCCCCACCCAAATTGCATCACCCTATTGTTAAAACAAAACAAAACAACACAGTTTTAGAACTTAAAAGGAAATGTGCTGTGGGAAGTAGAGGCTATTCCAGTCTGAGATGCATTTAATCAGAATGATTGGTTGTATTAGCCTAATTTTAGGAAATAGTAATCAATTTTCCTTACTCAGGACAGGATTAGCATTCATTTTGCTTAATAGGGAATAGCCTGTCATGGGTAAGTAGTGTTTAATCAGGTATTAAATGTAAGGGAAGATGGAACCTCTGGACTTTCAGTGAGGAAGCTGCCAAATCAGGGTTAATTAGGAGAAGACTGAAAATGTAATGAACACTTGAAATCTTTATTTTTGTTCTCCCTATGGAACACTTATGTTTTAAGTGTTTGCAGAAGGTTCAGAGAGGCCTCTGAAAAGGGACACGGCTCCTTGAGGGCTGCACGATCAGACAGGGTTTGTGGCCTTGGGAGCAACACAACTGTGTCAAAAGTTGAACGTTTTGCTCTCCAGAAGGTCCTGATTCAGACCTTCGTGCCCTCTAGATTTTAAGATAATAAATAAAAAGGTATGACAACTCAACTGTGAGGGCTGACACCAGCTGTGGGTGGGTTTTAAAAGAGACTGCATAACTTGTTTGAAGTATATTCCTTTGCTCCAAGGCATCTGGGAGAGTTACTAGTGACTTCAGGAGGGGCTTGCAGGTGCTTAGTTAGGACTTGAACAAAGGCTGGATATCCTAGACTAGATCCAGTGCTCCCAGGTTGTATTTCCCATGGCAAAATCACTACCTGGCCCCCAGATTTGCTTATATCTTTTTTTTTCTGCTGTCAGCAAAGCAGCAAGTCAGGCTGTTGCATAATGTTGTAAGAGTTCTGTTAAGGTCTTGGAAGAACAAGTAAATTTAAGCTGAGCTGTCAGAATTTTCCACAAGACAATCAGCTTGCTGGTATCGCCGTGTCTCCCTGGGGATCTCTGTCACGGTGATTGTTAAGTCAGGGACAGAAAAAGAAATGATTTTGCATTGTTTACGATTGTCAGCGGGTTTGATATCTAGCAGCTGTTCTCTCTTGCTGCCTGCCCCAGCCCTGGACCCCTGCTCTGCCTACATCAGCCTCAACGAGCCCTGGAGGAACACGGATCACCACATCAACGGCTCGCAGGGGCAGCCGACGTGCGACAGCCAGATCGCCGGGGAGTGGTACCGCTTCACGGGCATGGCAGGTGATGCCATGCCCACCTTCTGCATCCCCGAGAACCACTGCGGCACCCACGCTCCCATCTGGATGAACGGCAGCCACCCTCGGGAGCGGGACGGCATCGTGCCCCGCCAGGCCTGCGCCAGCTTCAACGGCAACTGCTGCCTCTGGAACACCACCATCCACGTCAAGGCCTGCCCGGGCGGCTACTACGTGTACCACCTCTCCAAGCCCAGCGTGTGCTTCCACGCCTACTGCGGCCGTGAGTGCCTCCCTTTGCCAAACCCCTTCATCCCTGGTGCCTGGCTTTGGGCTTTGCCCCCTGTCAGGTGTGGGTGGTGGCCTGTCCATGTGGGATCCATGAGGCGGTTCCACCCGCTGCGGAATTTTCCGTGGCTGACCCGGCCCGCGGTGATTTGGTGCTCTCCGTGGGTGCTGTGGTTTGTCTTGGCTCGCTGCCAAAGTCAAAATTTGCATCTCTGACATGCAGTAATTAAAGCAGATTGTTTCTCAGCAGCTTCAGCAGTTCGTCTTTCCCACCGTGGGCCAGGTCTGGGACTGATGGGCTGCTCCCAGGGCGGGAAGCTGACGGGACAAATGTGGTTATTTTTGTTGCATGCTCAGCACTTTGTGCTGACAGTGTTCTTGTCGTGCCCTAGATTTTTATGACATCTGTGATGTGGTGGATTGCCAGGGCCCCTGCCTGGACACCAGTGACTGCACCTGTTCCCCAGGGACAACACTAGGACCTGATGGACAGACATGCCTTGGTAAGGGTGGCAATAACCTGTGCCAGCTACCGGTGCTTTCTTTCCCTTTGTTTCATCGCTCACTTCTCGACCCATTGCCTCACAAAGCAGTGCAAAACGTGAAGGATTCTAAGAGTTTTCTCCCTTACTGCCTAGAATAGGTCTATGATTCTGTCAATGATTCCAAGAGACATCCCACGACTGAATCCATTCTGGTGGCCCTGGAGCTCTGTGTGTACAGAGACTAGATTTGCTTTCTGAAGGCAGCAGCTGCACTGCCAGTAGCAGAGTCTCTTTGCAAGATGGTGGTACAGCCTCCCTGTGGTATTCAGAAAATGCTGTGCAGCCTGTCATTAGATGCTCTGTTGAATGCCTCTTTCCCCCAGAAAAAAAGTTTTGCTGGCTGGTGTAAGGCTGCACACTAAGCTCCACCATATTCCTGCCTTTTTGGGACGTTATCCATGGCCTGGGCCTTGAGGAGAACCAAAGGACAGTAAGTCCCATCACAGCTGCAGTGGTTTTAGGCAGCATGACAGAGGGGTGTTCAGGGGGTTGGCATTTGGTGACAGAGACTGGCACAGCCAGAAGGGAGGTGGAGGGCTGTAAGTGAGAGCAGAGTGGGGATTGTGGGCTTTGGGGATTTGGAAGGGAGTCCTCATGGATCTCTGAGGAGAGGACGGCTGTGGTCGTGTGTGTGGTGCTGGGAGGAGAGCACCTGGGCCGGGAGGTTAGGGAGAAGATAATCTGTGGGGGAAAGCAGGGGGCTGGGAAGGGGTGCCCCTTGGGGAGCTGCAGAACCACACTGGTGGATAAGAAGAGGTGAGGTGGAGGGAGGAGGAAGGGGTGCCAGTGTATGGGGGAGGTGGGATCTCATCTGTGTCTTTGTGGCCTGATTTGGTGGTGAAGCTGAAAGCAGAGTTGGTCCAGGAGGCTGTGTGGCAGATCAGCCTCTTCCATACTGACTACAGCTGACAAAGCAGGTGTGGGTGGTTTCTTCACACCCCTGGTGTCTGTGGGCATCAGGGTAGGGGCCACAGTCATCCCAGTGTGTGGAGAGAGCAGCCTGGCCCTGCTGCAGAGTTACTCTTGCTCACACTGATTCTGTGGAAGGGTTTTGCTTAAGCAGCTCCACATCTCTGCAGCCAAGTGGCTGACTTAGCTCTCTCAGGTAATTAAAAGCATTTATTGGCTGCTTCTGTTCAAGACTTCCAGTCACAGAAGTGCCCTTGACAAGCACCAGCACTCAATAAATGTGTGGCCGGCTCAGAGGAAAGGATTTCCTGCAGCAGGGAGGCTGGCAGGAGCCTGAGCCTGTCTGTGTGTGCTGCAGCTGCCTTCACCCCTCCCTGGCCAGGCTGGGCAGGATTTCTGCACTGCTGCTTCTCCCTGGGATTCCCAGATGGCACAGCAGCTCAGCTGGAATGATCCCTCTGGGTCACCAGCCTGCAGCCTCTCCTGGGTGGCTCGCTCATCTCTCTAATGACTTTCTGTTGCACTGAGTAATTGTGCAGTCACATCTCAGAGAAGCTGTCTTCCAGAGAAACTAAATAAATCCCTGTTAGCCTTTCCTGAATGGAGAATATGCTTCTTTTCCCAGCTCCTCCTGAAAAGGGGGGCTGATGATGCTGCAGTAATGCAGCAGAGAGGCTGTGGCTGCCCCATCATGGGGCAGGTTGGACGGGGCTTGGAGCAACTGGGCTAGTGGAAGGTGTCCCTGCCCATGGCAGGGGTGGAATGAGATGGGCTTTAAGGACCCTTCCAACCCAAACCATTCCATGAATGTTAAACAGCTCTGTGCACCTCCCTGTGCTTCTCAGTACATTACATGCTTTGAATCCCAGAGCAGAACTGCTGATCCTCAGTTACATTTTCATTTGCAAGCTTAGTGGTTAGGTGAGGTCTTGGATTTCCTGTCACACATCCACCAACTTGGTGCATTGCCTTTGACCTCGTGAATGCTTGGATCCATGTCCTCCTAAGCCATGGATAAAATCAGCTCAGTGCTCTCCCAGTCCAGTCTCGAGACAACCAGAAGTGTCCCAGAAGTGCTGGTTGTCACTGGTGTGGAAGAGCAGGGCCAGATCTGTGTGTTGTAGGACCTGAGGGATTGGCAAGGGGGATTGCTGGGTACAGCCCTTGACCACGACAAGCTCTAGGCCCCTCTAACAGCATCTCCGTGCCTTTGCCAGTTAGCCCTTTCCCTCTTCACCTTCTGTTTCTAAGCAGCTTTAGTTTTATTTTTAGAAGGGAAAGTGTGGAGCCTGTCACATGTGTGAAAAGCAGAGTGTCTGTGTGTCTCCTGGACATGCTTCCTGCCTCCCAAAGCAGGGTAGCAGCCAATTCTTTGGCTAAAAATATTCAATTCACGTCGCTTGTGGAAGGAGACACCGGCACCAGCTGCAAGCTGTGGGCACTGTGAGTGTGTGGGACCACTGATACCTAAGAAAGCGCCTCTCTGACCTGTCTCTTAAAATGGTATCTTGCTTTTTTTTCTTAATTTAAGCTCCTGCCATCTAGTAAATGCCAGCTTCTAAGCTGTTTTGATAGAACCTTGATTGATAACCTCAGCATGCTGGCCTTCCTGAGAGAAATTGTTCGTTTTGTGGCTCAACAATAGCAATGTCTGTCCCTTCCTCTGATTCACTTTTTGCACACAGAGATGAAATCAGGTTGAAGAATGAGAATCTCAGAGAAAAAGTACCTTTCAAAAAAAAAGTAAAGCAGACGGACCCAGAGAAACTTTAGCCTTTCAAACAGGATTAGCAGGAGTTTTCAGAGCTTTACCAAGAGATTCAAAAGCCGCTGTCAGAGGGATTACTCATTACATTCCAGAGTTCAAGAAGTGTTCGGGCAGCGCTCTGAGGGCACAGGGTTGGGTTGTTGGGTTGTTGGGTTGTCCTGTGCAGGGCCTGGAGTTGGACTGGGCGATCCTCGTGGGTCCCTTCCAATTCAAATGTCCTGTGATATGATCTCTGCTGCCCTGATCCCGTTCAGGAGGCCAGGGAGGCCAGCTGTGTGTTTACTGAGGGCACGTTCTGACAGTGGTTTGGGGTGTTTCTTTTCAGATGAAAATGAGTGTGAGCAGAACAACGGCGGTTGCAGCGAGTTCTGTGTGAACCTGAAGAGCTCCTACCGCTGCGAGTGTGGGGTCGGGCGCACGCTGGGCAGCGACGGCAGAACCTGTGAAGGTGAGGCTTCACCTGCCACAGGCACAGCAGGAATCATTCCCTCTCCCTTGCAGCACTGCTTCTCTCCTGGCTCCTTGCAGCTGGGATTAAATGTCACTCATATCACCTCTGTGCTTGCCAGTGGGGTTGTTCCTAAAATATCCTTCTGAGCGAGCGGAGAGAAGTCTCCTTGTTGTTCTCCCTGCCTCGTTCACTCCTGTTAGGATTTGCTTGTGTTTATCTCCATGGGGGAAAGGCAGCAGTGGGTCTGGAAGACTGGTTGTCCACGCAGAACTGGTTATTGCTGGAGTTGCTGGGATTTGGCTCTGGAGATTTGGGGGGGGCAGATTTAGCATTGCTGGGTTTTGGCAGCTGACATTAGGTATGGGGTAATGTCATGACATTAGACTAGAGCATGAGGATCACTTTAGCCTCCTGGGGCAGAGACTGAGGAGAGGGGTGCCAGTGTGTGAGCAGAAGCTGGATTTGAGATTTGGGCTGCATTTTGGCTGTTTGGTGTCTGTGAGTGGTTAGCTGTGGGCTCAGCTGCTACAGCTCCTTCCCAGGGGTGGCACAGCCAGGCTGAAAACCCTTGATGAGTTTAGACTGGTGGCTTAAAGACTAAATGGTGGGTTTGATCTGTTGTCACTAACAGTGTACAGACATCTCTGGGGCAGAAATAGGCAAACCCAGCAAAAATAGACTTGTGCCTGATGTTTTCTGTGGTGAGCTGTGAAGAGCTCTGTGCCCCCTCCATAGCAAAGCTGCTGTGTGGTGTGTTCACAGATACTGTGGGGCCTCAGACAAGAAAAACAGCTACAGATGTGCCTCACTTTTCAGCTGCCCAGGAGAGCTCAACCTGCTCCCTGAGCTGTGTTAGCAAACATCCCTCACCCAGGCAGTGACCCTGCCCTGGGAATGCCCTGCAGAGCACTCCTTGAGTCCTTGTCACATCATGTGGGGCCAAAAATGGTCTGTGAGCTTTGTCCCTTCCACATCCAGCTCTGAGCTGCTGGGGGGTCATGTAAACCAGCTGTGCAGTTTTTATTCCTGACACTCTTCTGACAGGGCTGGAATAGCCTGTCTGGAAACTTGTTTGTTTGTGCTGTTCCCAATGTTGGCTTTTAGGGCCTTTGATATATCTTTTAATTTCCCCTTCTGTAAGAAGGATGGTGCTTTTCACGAGTTTAACACTGCTGCTGGGGATTTTTACAGTCTTGTTAGTGAGTTTTATTTCTAAAGATGTGCCCTCAGCTTTGTGAGCCCTTAGAGGATGTGATTTACTTGTGAGCCACCTCACAGCTGTCACTAAAAAGAACAAATGCAAGAGATTTAGTTTGATTACACGAGCTGGTGAGGCTGAGTAGGGTTAAAAGTATCATATTCCATAATGATGCTGTACCCATTGCTTTGACTCATGTGGAGGGTTCAGGCTCTTGTTTTCCATGCATTGTATAGGGGTCAGTATGGGATTTCCATTCTTTTCTTTCCATTTCAGTGAAAACCACACAGTCATTTCTGATGGCAGTCTTGGGGAGAAATATTTTGTATTTATGATTTGTTTATCTCATATGTATTATTGTTTCACTGAGAACAGTAGTACTCATCTAGCATACTCATCCCAAAGGGTTAAAAAAAATCAAGCAGTGAAGATTATTTCCAAAAAAATCATGACCCTGTTATTTTCTTTATAATAGGAAGCCAACAAGAGCTGGAAATGGCCTTACTTTCCTTAGGTTTTCAGATGTTCAGAATGTACCTGGATGACCTTTCTGGCTCTTTTCTGTAGCTGTAGTAGCCAGGAATATGTTTTACACAAAAACTCAGGTCCTCAGAGAGCTGCCTCACCTGAATGGATAAGATGTAAGACATGACACATCCTCCAATTAACTGTGCTGCCCTCTCTCCTCTGCCCTTGACAATGGGGGAAAATTAGGAAGGGAATCAGCTTTACACCATGAACTCGTCTCATTCTGTCCCTGAGCCAACCTCAAAGCCTTAGAACTCACAAACCAGCAGGATTCCTGCTAAAGAAACTCCTACGAGCAGAGTTTCATCCTCACCCTACAGAGGTTGAAGGAATCTGGTACAGCCACCTCCCTCCCAGCTGGGAAAGCCAGGGGCAATGAGCACATCAGCTTTTCTCTGCTGTTCCCTGCTGGAAATGGGAGCTGGCTCCCTGCAGGGCTGTGCTCCCCAGGGCAGCTCCCCTGCAGAGCTCAGGGCTGTCATTCTGCTCCTGAGGAAGGGAGGCAGTGGGGTAGAAGTTTTAAGAGGATTTTCCTCCCACCTTTTTGAAGTAGGAAAGAACATAAAAATTTAGTTTAAGAGGATGTCTCAGGAGAGACAAACAACAAAGGCATGTAGTGACAGGACAAGAGAATGGTTTTAAACTGACAGAGGGCAGGGTTAGATGGGATACTGGGAAGAAATTCTTACCTGTGAGGGTGGTGAGGGCCTGGCACAGGTTGTCCTGAGAAGTTGTGGCTGCTCCATCCCTGCAAGTGTCCAAGGCCAGGTTGGATGGAGCTTGGAGCAACCTGGGATAGTGGAAGGTGTGGAACAAAATGGTCTTTACGGTCCCTTCTTACCCAAGCCATTCTATGATCCTTAAAGGGCCAAGCTGCAGATTGCCTACTCAGTGGGATTTAATTTGGTCAGCTTTTTCACAGAATTCCTTGTTAACCTCGTGGTGAAATGACAAACACAGGAAACTGTACAATTAAAAAGAGGGTTTCCACTGCATTTTCTTGGAAGCAAACCCTGCCCATGCTGCTGCCTTGGAGCTGTGTTGGCCATAGTCTCTGTTGGTCAGGGGCACGTTGGGGCCCTCAGGCTGTGCTGATTTTCCCTTCTCTCCCAGAAATCGAAGGCTGTCACAACAACAACGGAGGCTGCAGCCATACCTGCATTGAAGTGGAAGACACCTACCAGTGTGAATGTCCAAGGGGACTTGTTCTATCAGAAGACAACCACACTTGCCAAGGTAGGTCAAAAAAATCTCCCCAGCAGCCTCTGTCCCCCAGAAGTATGTCTGAAGGAACTTTTCTTCTTGGTTTTGTTGCCTTCTCTTAGTCTGTCCTTTCCAGTTTGATTAGTGGAGCTTTGTCATTAATGACAGATCATCCAGAACTGAGAGCCTGAGGGATTGCTCTTTTAACCAGGCAGGAGAACAGCCACAGGGCCCTCCTGGGTGCCTCTTGCATCACAGGTGGTTTTGGCAGAGTTCACTTACAATTAAAATTGCATAATATCTCCCATTGTACTGCTCTGCTTCAGCTCTGTGTGCCTCTGACAAACTGATGCTGTAGAACTGACATTTTCCATGCTTCAAACTTGAAAATTTCAGCTCAAGTGGTTCAGTCAGTTCCAACAGTGGGGTTAAAGAGAGAGGCATGTTTTCTCCAAGTGTCTCAGTAGCCATCCCAGTGAGCATTCCTGGGCCTTGAAGCAGGGCACTAGCTTTGATACAGGGTGTTCCTGCTGTCCCTTGGAAAAGTGCCTGGGATACATCCTTGCATAGAGGCAAGGACAGCATTATCCTTGGAAAACCTTCCATGTGAACTTTACACAGGGAGCCTTCCTGCTGACTCACTGGTACCTATGGCATGCCCATGGAATGAACAGGTTCCATGTTTTGGGATGGGATTTCCTTTACAGATACATCCCAAGCTACCAGCAGTCTGGTGTCTCCTGGTGTGCTCAGAGAACCTCTTGCAGTCTGATGTGTCACAGAGTGCCCAGACACTAGCTGGAGGGACAGATCCAGACTCCACGGGGGCCAACAGGGCAGGTGTGCCTCAGAGAGGAACTTGGAATAGTCCTGCTTGATGGAATTTCTGCTTTTTTTTGAAGCCTTTTAGAAATGCAGGGCTCCCAAGGGTGAGCACTGCACACTTGGGATCCTGCAGTGCTGCTGGGGGAGGTGGAGGTGGCATTTCCAAGAGCTGTGACTGCATTCACTGACTGAAGGTCTGATGGATGGATACAGAGCAGTGATTTTCAGTCCTGGCTCTCTGAGGCTATCCCAGCAGGGTTGGGAGCCCTGGATTTCCCAGCCAATGTTCCTCCTGCTCGTGAGGCTGCTTACTGAGAGCAGCAGTGCTGCCAGGGCAGGGCTGGGGATGCAGCATCTCATGGAGTGGAATTGCTTGTTCCTCTGCATGTCATGGATTTATGTCCCTGTGCACTGGTCTGCAGTTCTGAGCAGATATGGAGCTGTACCACACAAACTTTTATGAGATCTAATCAGGTTTATATTGGTTCAATTAGCAGTGCAGGGCAGGCATAGTTGCCTGAAGCAATTGGCTCTGCAGCCTCTCCACCCTCCTCTGCACTGTCTCTACCTTCAGAACAAACATTAATAATCTTCCACAGAAACCACAGTCTTGGCTACAATTTTTCCACAAAGATACCAGCCAGCAAAACACTTGGAATTTTGCAGCCCATCCTAGTACCCCACATCTTTCTGAAGTGCAGGGGGAAATGCTTTTCCTGCCCCCTCCTCTGCCCAAGCCTTTTGTGCCTGTAGGCAGGGTACAACACTGTAATTGGGGTATAGCAGTGGGGCAGGGAATCTGTTCTGCTGGGCAGTCTGTACAGAAGGATGACCTCTGCTCCAAGCAGCTGCACTTTGGAAGGCCGAGGAAGGAACCAGAGGCTGGAACATGGTGCCAACAACAACAGCAGACAGCAAAAATGAGCATTGGGCCCACCACAGAAGCTTCCTACCAGGGTCAAGTGTTGGTGCAAAGCAGAGTTTAAAGTGGAAATGAGGAGGCTTTCCCAGTACTCACAGGTGATCTGTGGTGTATGAGGGTGAAGAATTGAAATGTTCCATTGGCACAGCCTGGATGAGGCTCTCAGGAGCAGGACATGGATGCTGACAGCAAGTCAGGAGGGTGCAGAGCTGGCATCAGCTCTCTGAACGGATGCCAGAGGTTGGGAATAAAAGTGGGTTCCTTGGCATCAGGATAACTCATTTCTGCTGGGCATCTCAGTCCTGGCAGTCGGGACCTCACTGCTTCCCCTGGAATAACACGTCTGCACACCTTGTCATCTCCTTTGCAGCTCCCCTGTCCTGGGGGAACGAGCCTGCTCAGAGCCAAATCCTGCTGAGGCACCGGCTCTGCTCGCAGCACCACTGACCAAACACTGCTCTCAGCACTGCTTACTCTTCCTTGGACAAATGTCTGGGGTGGTTTGAATTGCATTACCAGCTCCTCTGATGTGGTCAGTATGAGGAGTTTCCCAGAGTGTTTTCCCAAATAGCCAGGATTTGTCTTGATTCACCAGTGGATCTGCCCGCAGGTTTCCTTCACTCGTTTCTGTGTGTGCACACAGGTCCTGCAGTGCCAGAGCACGGGGGCAGTGGGGTCTTCTTTCTCCTCCTTTGTGCCAATCAAAGACATGCAGAAACAGAGATATCCTTAACCAAACTGGTCCTGAACTTAGGAAAATTGCAGCTGGGGTACAAACTGTCTTGCCCTGAATTTCACCTTCATAAAATAAAAGCATGACATTTTCTTATTTATTGAAGAGTCACTAGGACAGTGAGGCTTTACATCCAGGTTGATCCCATCAGTTCTCTGAAGGGTGTTCCTCTGTGTGCATTGTGCTGTGTTCCAAAGTCTCTTTGTCTCCTCCTGAGCTTTGCCACCCCACGTGCTCCGTTATTCCCACCTGCCGATGGAGGGGAAGTTAAGGTAGTTCTTAGTTCTTTAAGCTCCTGTTCTAACCCAGTAATGTCATTATGGGAGCATATTGCTGTGGGCACTCTGCATACATTTTAGCATATCACCTTGAAAAGATCAAGTTTTTATTAGAGTCCTCCCTGCAGGTGTAGAGGCTGTTACAAATACCTTGGCTGGAACAGGAGAATTTTTTTAAGGGGAGTAAAAGGCATGTCTTAGCAGTGTGCCTTGTATCCGAGATCCAGAATCCTAAATTACGTAATTAATGTCCAAAGTTAAGGGAAAGCAGGTCATATGAATGTCAAGGACTGAGGCTGTAATTTTGGCAAAAAGCTTGGGCAGCTAGTAGATTTGCAAAAAGTTTTGTCGTGGGATTTTAAAATATAATAAAGGGAAATACTGCAAGGGGATTGTTTTTCTGGCACCAGTACACTTGTCCTGTCTCTAGCTGAATAGATACATATCTCCCAAGGAATATATGTATATAGCAATTACTTTTTTATTGAAGATTATTCTCTCTTCTTTCCTTTTTCCTTTTGCCCAAGCTGTATGTTCTCTGCCGCTTCTTATGTAATGGAACTGTAATTTAAAAAAATTCACATGGATATCTGTATTAAAAATTCAGAGGTTGGAAGGAGGTGGGAATGAGTGAGATAATTGGGTTTGTTTGTCAGAGCTGGGTTTATTGCTTATAAAAATATTATTATGGCATTTTGAGGTGCTTCCATTTTAGCTCGGTATCTATATGGAATTACTCTGCCTTGTTTTGATGTGTTCTGGATTTGATGTAAAATCTGATTAAGGGTCTTAAAAAATGGCTTTGCCTGAGGTGTTGTGAATTTGATATCCATATCTGGCAAAGGCTCTTCCCAGGACATAGATAGCAGTGCAAGAGATATCAATCAAACCTGTGCTGATATTGAGTAAAGCTGGAAATGCTGCACGGCCAAGTTTCTGCTTCAAGTGCAGTGATTGTCTTCATTGTCTTCTGAGGCCTCGCTGTGGCTGGAGAATTTGGGGCCGTGGTAGTTCAGGTTTGTTTTGTGTAGGTAGGAATGCAAGACAGGCAGCTCCTGTGGGGAGATAGTGATGATAAATGCTGCTCAGGATTCCCCTTTTTCCCCAATAATAACTGGTACAGCCCTTCCCCAGCTCTCTGGGAGCTTTGTAGTGCAGACTGTTATTATGGAGACTTCTCTTGCAGTTCCAGTGCTGTGCAAGTCGAGTTCTATCGAGGTGAACATCCCAAAGGACCTGGTTGGAGGCCTGGACCTTTCCCTCATCAACACTTCGTGCAAAGGCGTCTCCAACGGCACTCACGTCAACATCCACTTCTCCCTGAAGTCCTGTGGAACTGTTGTAGATGTATGTACTGATGTGTGTACTGTATCTATTGCCCTGGCTGCTGGGGTCTCTGCATTTGGGACTTGGCTGTGGCTTCCTTGGGGAATAGGGTTGGTTTGGCTGTACTGTCAGAGCAGGTTCCTGTGTTGCCGTGCAGCTGGTCTCTGAGTAGACCTGGGCTGACACCCCAAAGTAGGAGAGCTTGTTCCACCTCCCCTGCAGTGGTGTGTCTGTCAGCGTGGGTGCTGCTTTCTGCTCACCTGCTGCGTCACAGAGGGAGCTCCACTGTCATGCCAGTGCAGAAGGCACAAGTGCTGTCACTCCTCACCCTCCTGCTGAGACAGATTCTGGTCTTCTCTTCCAAAAATTAAACTGGCAGCTGGTCAGGAACCAGAGAGCCCATCTTAGCAGATGGGTGGCACTGGAAGCCAATTCCTCAGCTTGCTGCAGCAGTGCAGTGCATCACAGCCAACAGCAAACCGAGCCCTTGGTGAGTGAGGGTGAACATCGTTCTGGTTGCAGCGTATAAATTCACAAAGCTGTACCTTCCGTGGCTGCTTTGGGTGTCCTGAACAAAGTCAGCCCAGAGGGGTCCTTCTCAGTGATCTCCCCTTTCCCTTCAACACCTCTCTTTGCTGCAGGTGATAGATGACAAGATCATTGCCACCAACCTGGTGACTGGCTTGCCCAAGCAGACCCCGGGCAGCAACGGGGACATCATCGTGCGCACCAGCAAGCTGCTGATCCCCGTGACCTGCGAGTTCCCGCGCCGCTACACCATCTCTGAGGCATACGTGCCCAACCTCAAGAACTCGCCCCTGGAAATCATGAGCCGCAACCAGGGCATCTTCCCCTTCACCCTGGAGATCTTCAAAGACAAAGACTTCGATGAACCCTACAGGGGGGCTCCTCCCACCCTCAGGCTTCGGGACTCGCTGTACTTTGGGATTGAGCCCTTGGTGCACGTCAGTGGACTGGAGACACTTGTAGAGAGCTGCTTCGCCACTCCCACCTCCAAAATCGATGAGATCCTCAAGTACTACCTGATTCAAGATGGGTGAGTTCACTGTTCCCTCTCTTGCTGGCTGTTGGGTGGGAATGGGCAGTGGGGCTGAGTTGTCTTGTCTGTGTGAGGCAGGAAACACTATCCCTTCTCCACAGCAGTTTATCTGCCCTGCTCCCAGCAATCACCAGCAGCCATCAAGCTGAAACCACCTGTCCCATCAAAAGTAATTGGGAGAAACTGTGGGAGACAGTGAAAGAGGTTACTCCGAGCGCAGCCTTTACAGGCCATATTTCCCTGTAACTAGCCTTGTGGATAATTGAGTTGGCTCCTGGAGAAAAGATTCTGTTTCCTGATATCCTCTCCCTGCCAGCCACAGAGTGCCAAACCAATGGGCAGAACCCCCTGATGGCCATGTGCTGCTGCCAGGCAGCTGCTGCAGCAACTGGAGCAAGTTTCTTCATTTTCTCCTAATGGCCTTCTTACAGCATGAGCCAGAAGACTCCATGGCTGATCCTAGTTGAAGCTCCAGGAGCATCCTCTCTCTGATGTCAGTGCAGCAGACTTAGGGTCCCTCAGATTGGCTGTAATTTTCTGGGGGTTAGTGATCTTTGCAGGATATGCTAAAAATAATTCTGTGTAGATCTGTGGGTTCTCTGTAGTGGGTTTTGCATCAGAGGTTTGGGGAGCACTGCTGGGGGCTCAGCTGTGCCTCCTAAGATGATCCCTGTTTTCAGACACTTCTCTGGGTGCCAAATGACTGTGCCATGCTACAGCAGTGCTGTGGAGTGTTTGCATGCAGGAGCTTAGCCAGACAATGCTGGGGAAATGTCACAGTCTGCTGTTCCTCTAGGGAGGGAAGTCCAGCCAAGGGAATATCTGAGACATACCCCCAGTGTTGTAGCCTGGCAGTCAAGATACTGTGCTTGTGTAAGCCCTGTGTGTTGCCTGCCAGAGCATCTAATGAGGACAGCAATTATTTCCTCAGCTGCCCAGGCTAAATCACCCACCCTTACAGCTGGTGGTGACAAGTCCTGTGTCGTTGTCTCATAGCAAAAGGGTCCTGCAGTGTAAAGTACCCAGAAATTCTCTTTTCATCTCCTGATGAAGGATTCAGCTCTCCCTCCATCCTAGGCTGCAGTCCTTCTGTGCCTGACATTTCTGGGCTTTATGAGCAGATTTGTAATGGGAGAATTGATTTTATTGACTCCCTGCCTTGGCTCTTCCCGTGGACCCTTCACAGAGTCAAGGCTCCAAACATTCATTAATTTCTCCTCATGAGTGAAAGCGATGGGATTCAAAACAGCAAACAAAACCTGAGCCAGGTGGAGAAGGGAGAAGGCAGCAAATGTCGTGCCTTAAATTCACCCCAGCACTAGTTGGAGGATTTATGGCACCGGCAGCCCCTTGGTACCTGCAGAGGGCATTGAAACTTCACCGAAGGGAAAAGTGGGCTGGTGGAGCCTCAGCCAGCCTGCTCCTCTCTGCAGCCTCACTGGAGAGTGTCCCCAGTGTCCCCAGACTCACCACCCCCGTGCTGGGCTGTAGTTAAACTGCTCACTAATGATGTGCTATCGAGCTAACTGGGGTTCTTTGTCTCTCTCTGTGCTTGCAGCGATTCAAAAGTAAAATTAGCTGAATAAATACTCTGCTGAGTTGTCCCTGCTCCAGACAGTTCTGTAATAACCCAGTTTCCTTCCAGCAACCCAGCCCCAAAAGCCCAGGGCAATAAAGATGGGATTTTTAAATCAGTTGGATTATGTAGGATCAGACCTGCAGGAGTTAACTGCAGCTTCCAGAGGGGAACACTGTTCAAATTTGAGGGGATTTACCTTGGGCTTAGGGATGGGGAAATTCTCTCTACTGCTTTCTTCCCTGCCTTCTGCAGTCAGCAAGAGGTGGGAGCTGCCTTCTGTGGGACTCCAGCCTTCTCCCCATGCTGATGTGACCACGCTGGAAACCAGGAGTTTTCCAGATCCCTCCCCTGTAGTACCCTGCACTGCTGCTAGCCCAGCCAGCCCCAGAGCAGCTCTGCTTCTGATCTGTCCTTCCTCTCTCTGAAAGCAGAATGCAGCCAAAGGCACTGACCAAAGGCCCAGGTGGTCAGTGTTGGAGCTCTCTGGGGCACCCAGAGCGAGGTCATGTCCTGCAGGGCAGTGTGCTGTGCTCAGGAGCTGTGCTTCAGCTGAGCACCACGGAGTTAAGGTGGTTCCACTGCAAGGCTCACCTCAGTTACACCTCGGGCTGCCCCTCATTTGTAGGCTGAGCTGGATATTTTATTCTCCAAACCAGTATGTTTCCTGCCACCAGTGTGGCAAACCTTTGGAGAACTTGAGGTTTGGGAGTCAGTTTGAGCCGGTGTCCAAGAACATCACAGCTGATGTGCTCACAAATGAGGACAACCCTACAAGTTGAGTTCACGGCCCCAAAGCTTGGCCAGTCACCCATGAAAAATCTTTAACTGTCATTCCTTACCATCAGATGCCTTCAGGAATAGTACTTTTAACAGCAGTTTTATCCCAAACAACTGTGTTTGGCCTCAGGGGGGAGGAATCTGTCCTGTTTTGTAGCTGCACAGTGGTGATTTATCAGCTCCCTGGGGGTGGGTTTTGTGTTTGCCTCCAGGGAAATGCTGCAGACAGGGATCTCCCTTCAGGCCATGGAGAAATGGTGGTGAAAATAATGCTGGGATCAGAGCAGTGCCTAGTGCTCCCACAGGAGCATGTGCTGCTCTCCTGTACAGAGAGCATGGTCATATACTGCTAGTGATGGAAAAATTGAAATTATTAATTTAATGCAGTGAATTTGAGCTGTCTGACCAAGTCCAGCAGGAAGAAATATGTAAATGATACAAAGCAAAGCAAATCTGTTTTTTTTTTTTGCTTTCATCATCTGTGATATTTTAGTAATGTGTGTACAGGCTTCATTTTAAGCATAATTTATGTGCATATATATGTGTACACAGAAAGTACATAACACATTCAACAGTGTATAACACTGCAGACTGTTGCACAGGAAGGTGAAACGAGGACAGACTTGCCTGCAGCTCTCTGGCAGTCCCTCTCTGAGGGGACTGGCCCAGGTCCTGCCAGCTCTCTGCTGCTGAGCTGTCCTTTGTCTGGAGATGCCATTAGCATTGCTGTTGTTTTCCCCCATCGTTCCCGAATTTTCTCCTGTGGCCAAAGAGGAAGTAGCAGGGATGGTAGCTTAGCTTGAGAGAGCCAAGCCCTCCTTTCCTTTCTCTGGTTAAGTAGGCTGGAATGTCTTTTTCCACTTCTGGGAAAGCCATTAAAAGCCTGTCCCTCTGCTTCCCTCAGCTGCGTGTCCGATGACTCCGTGAAGCAGTACACGTCAAAGGACCATCTTGCCAAGCATTTCCAGGTTCCTGTGTTCAAGTTTGTGGGCAAAGACAACAGGGTAAGCTCAAAACTCAGCTCTCAGGTGATTGCATCAGCTCTGATCTGACCAGGGAATCTCAGCACCAGGGTGGCTGTGTGAGAGTGCAAAGGGGAGGAATGGCTGGCCCAAGGCAGGTGCTGCTGGGCCTGTTCCAGCAGTTGTGTCTTTCAGGAGCCTGGCACAGGTGCTCTGAGACAGACTGAGAAAAACAACTAAAATTAAGTTGTGGAACATCAGTGCTGTAGGGGGCTAAAATCATGGTTGTGTCCAGGGTGGTCTTAGTGGACCCCCGTATGCTGGGTGAGAAGGTGTTCCCAGTCACCAGGCACATCTTGCAGTGTCCTGTCTTCAAAACAGGACAGTCTGTAGTTTGGAATCTCTTCAACCTGGTGTCTTCTCTAGCTCTTGGAGTACAGATGCTGGGATTGCAGATGCAAGGTCCCCATCCTGTTCAATTCAGTGTGAAACCCGGCTGTCCAGGCCAGTGGCACTCTGGGGCAGAAGCTCAGTAGTGAGAGGGCAGTTGAAGGATAATCCCATTTCCCTAACACAAACAGCTTTGCTTTTCTGTGCTGGAATAAACTGGGTCTTCCAGTCATTGTCATACTCAGCCAACGCTGCCTTTTCCACAAGGTATAAACCTGCTGCTCCAGCTACCAGAGAGCCCCATCAGGGTTAAAACAAACGAGATCTTCCAAAATTCAGGAATTTTTCTTGGCCGTCTGACTGCCACTGCTGTCTCCACCCTGCATCCTCCCAGCCTGAGCCATGGATTCTGCTTCAAACCACTCCATTGATCATGTATTTGTGACTGCTGCTTGCAGGGATCTTGCTTCTTCTCCTTGTCACTCATGGGGCAGGGAGCAGCAACCCTGTCGCTGCCTTTGCTGTGCAGGATAACAAGGCAGCTGTCTCCCTGCTCTTTGCATTCTCCTCCTTCCCTCAGCCCCTCATCACCCAGTGTTCTCCTCCTTTTCCCCTCAGATTCTTAGCTTTATGTTTTCTCAGCCCACTTCAAATCCTCTTGCACGTTTCTCTCAGCCCATCTCCGTGTGAGGCTTCCCGTGTTCTTGACCTGCTCCCTGCCATGCAGCTCCTGCCAGTCCATGCAAGTTCTTCCAAGCTTATTCCTGGCGTTTTCATCCCTTCTTCTGGAGGATCATTTCATGCCTTATATTCCCTGTGTGTGCCCCCTTGGCTCACAGACAGATCCGTGCTCTGAGATCTCAGCCGGGCACAGCCGGAGTGGCCAGTTTGGCTTCAGGATGGTGGATACAGACCCTGTCAGTGCAGGGACAGAAGTGGCTGTGCCATGGCAGTGCTGTGGCCCGTGCTGTGCCAGCAGTGCCAGTGGTTCCCAGAGCACTGACCCGGTCCTGCTGTGTCCCCACCCCAGGAGGTGTTCCTGCACTGCCGCATCCTGGTGTGCGGGGCCCTGGACGAGACCTCGCGCTGTGCCCAGGGCTGCCGGAGACGCGCGCGCAGGGCGGCCCAGGAGGAGGAGGAGGAGAAGGGACCTGTTCCTGTGGCAAACCACGTCCTGACAGGTGGCCCCATCAGAATCGACTTTGACGACTGACACCCACCCTCTGGAACAGCATCTCCGCCTGAGACCGACCTTCCTTATCAGTGCCTTCCTTATCAGTGCCTTCTGCCAGGGCTGTTTGAGAAACAAGAGGTATTTGGCAAAGCCCCACTTGCACCTCAGGACTCATTTCCCTAACCCTACGATGATTATTTGTGAGTGTTTTGGACACCTGGACTGCAGAATGGTTTGGTTTTACCTGCATTTCTTCCCAGCAACCCTTTGGCTGGAGGGACCCTGTTGCTTTGCAGGCCTGAAGCGTTTCCCAGCTTTGTCTTTCCCTACATCCACCTACAGGCTCCAGGACTGTTTGTCCTTGGCTAAACAAATGTTATCCAAGGCCTTCTTGCATCAGACAGTACAAATAGTGTCGTAGCTGAACATGTTTGCTGTGCAGTTCTGTGAGCGATGCTGAAGCTTCTGGGCGACTGTTAATAAAAACAAGTATAAAATATTCTATCTCATCATTTGTAAATTCCCTGGAGCTGTACAATTGTCATTACAGGCAGCTAAAGCTCAGCTCTATCACAGGCACATTTAAATGTTATTTTAAAGAGTGAAAGGTATTTAATAAGGTTTGATTTTTTAGTGTCTTTTGATAATTGCATGCAGTTTAATAGTGTTTCCACCTATATTTAGTGTATCATTATTTTTCTCCCTCTTCTCCCACCACCAAAAATGCCTTTGCTAAGTGCTCTGGCACCTTGATTGTAAGAGAAGCACCATTAAACATCTATTAACACCCCCCTCCCAGGCGTGCTGCTACCAAGTGTTTGTCTGGAACTTGTGTTAGAGAGACCGTGGCTCCAACGAAGGGATTAGAGGAATGCACAGTAATTATTTACAGCAATCCCTTGGAATGTGGGCAGTTCTCAGGACAGGGCTGTCCCCTGGTGACAGGAGACACCAGGCAGCCTTGTTCCAGTGTCTGTGGCATCATGGTTGTCAGGAATCTCTTGGGGCTGTCAAGCTCCTTCCAAAGAAAACACAACGGACGATCAGCTCAGTCTGCTCTGGGCTTCATTCAGGAGCAGGAGCGCTGTGAGGTGAAGGATCAGGGATGTGGGGTGAAGGGAAGGAGGCCCAGTGAGCAGTGGAGGACAAGGGAGAGGCAGGAACGAGGATGAGAGAGGAAGGATCCATCTCCCCCACCGGCTGTGGCACCGCAGTGCGTTCCTGAGGTTTTCTGCAAGAGGCTTCTCCATGTGCAGCTCCGTCCTGCGTGTTTGGAGGTCTGCTGGAAGGCCCCAGTCCTTCTTTACCTGTGTTCTGCTTTGGTTGAAGGCAGCCAAATTACTGCAAAAAAGATTTGTTGCTGCTTTCAAATGGATGGGGAGCCTGTTTGAAGGGATCATTTAGAAGGGAGTCATAAATTACCTCAGCAATATTCCATTTCACAGATTTATTTGTTCTGGCAAGTGAGATTCCAGTGAGGAATGGACATTTAATGGGCTGAGAGTTTCATGACTTTTCTAAATGGCTTCATGGCTGCTTTTCCAATCTGGGAATATGTGTGTATGTTAGAGTAAATCGTCATTTCTGTGATGATAAGTGGAAGGACACTGTTCCTGTGTTATCTAGCCATATGTGAAAGAAAAAGAGAGGAAAAAGCCTCCTCCTAGGATTGCTGTTCTGCTGATTCACATCTGCATTAGGACCACACGGGTAGTTTCTTCCTGTCACTTCTTTGTTCAGGCAGCCCTTGCTAAATATACTTATTTTGATAAAACAAGTGCTGGGAAATTAAATTAATGATCTGGGGCCTTCTGGAGAGGGAACTGGTGTTGTTTGTTCGTGTGAAAGGGATGTGGGGGAGTGATGGAGGGAGAGGTTCCTTTCCTGGCTTATTTCAGTTATTGTGCACATTATTTAGCTCTCCTGGCAAGTTCATATGGAGCAGCTTTTCTGCTCTGCAGCTCCTTAGCTGAGAAATCTGGATTGGGATATCCAAGGTATCTATGGCTTGGAATATCCAGGTATAAACACCTGTTTACCTGAGGTCCTAGTCCCTGCTTTTATGCCCCCAGTGGAAACAGAGATTGCTGTTTGTGGAGGGCCCACTGGCTGAATGGCTTGAAGTCAGCAGGAGGTGACAAATAATCCTGCCAAGACACGAAGTCCACGAGAAGCCACGGGGTGAGCACAGTGTCATCTTCCTGTCGAGAGCAGAGCGGGAGTGAAGGTGACCCAAGGTTTGTGCATTGACCTGGAGAATCCTGTGATCAGCTGCTTCCAGGGCTGTACACCACTGGATAGCAGTGTGGAGGGGAAGCAATGTTTGGTTTTAATGCAGTTTTACTGGAGTTCATGCACTGGTTTTCTCCTACACAGGATTATCCGATGGTTTTCTCAAGTCACTGCCTCCGCTTGGAGGTTCAGAAATTTCCTTGTAGAGCTGCTTGTGGGGTTTTGCAGATTACCAGAGGGGAAAAGGCACTAATTCAGTAGCTGGCCTGCATGCAGCAGGCTCTAGGGTTTGGGGGTGAATGGTGGGCTGAAACATGAAGAAATTATGGTTTATGTTAGCGGCGTCTCTGACACATCAGTGTCTGCACAGAGAGATTCTGTTCAGAACCCTTTGATTTCTCCAGTGTATGTCACCACCTGCCAACAGTTGCTTGCCTTCACTCTGATATCATTTGAACTGTAAAATATTTGAAGACATTTGCCAGCCAGTTGGCTGTTGAGTGTAGACAATGTAGACGCTTTAATTTCTTTGTCATTTAATCCTAAGAGTATGTTCACATTTAAACAGGCAACAGGCACCATTTCACCAACAAAATGCGAAGTTCGGGAAGTGTCTGGAATGATGGACGTTTCCTTCCCATCCCTAGGCAAAAGCATGTGTTTCTTAGATGGATAATCAAGGCTGTCTGTCCAGGCAGACACACACAGCCATGTTCCTCTCCAGAGGCATTAGCCCAGCTGGGAAAGGATGGCATTGCATCTGATCGGTGTAAATTAAGGTCCTCCATAATGGAAAACACCCCATACAGTCACTGCCTGGATACCTGGATATCCTGGTCTGGGTACCAGTGGGCTCTTGTTGTCTCAGCCTGTTTGGGGCCAGCTGAACATCTCGTTGCTGTTCTCTGGGAAGCAAAGATGACTGGCAAGAACAGAAATACGGAGCTTAAGTAATTTATAGCTCCGTGCACACATTTAAACCCAAACTGGAAGAAAAGTAACTAAGACAGACTCTTTCCACTCTGGTTAAATCACCCTTCTGCAGCCTTAACTTCTCCGTGGCAGATGGAAGAACATAACCATAAATATGTTTGCAGAAGCTGCTGAAATATTTACGTGGCACGGCACAAGTGCCCAGTAACAACTTCCTTCCAACGAGAAACCCAGCTGAAAGCTGTCTGCCAGTGCTGTGTGGAGATGAAATGCCACATACCACTTTAAATTCTAATTTTGCCTGTGATAAAAGCTCCCCATAACAGATGGGAGCATTAAGCACGTTTTGAAGGAGCGGTGTCTGAGGCTGCTGATAGCAGCCCCACAGAGGTAGCACGTAAGCCCTGTCATCTGACAGATAAGGCCTCCAGCATTTGGAATATCTCATCCAAGGCCACTGTGAGCTTCCTGTTTCCCTCGTGCAAAAGATGGGAGTGGATACCCAGCCATTTTGTGTCAAAAGGGATCCGAAGGGAAAAGCTTTGTTAAATGGCATAGGAGAGAAATAATTAAATAGATGTGGATGACACTGCCAAAGAAAAGCAGCTTTGTCTCCTGAGACTTGGGGGGAGAGGGCTGGGATTTTGCATCTGAGAAGTGATGGGCTTTGGTCCCAAATATGAATTATGCCTTTATCACAAACACCTCAGGTCCTTCTCGTGTTTACCAAGTCTCCAGATGTTTTAGATTGCTTTAGGATCCACCAAATATTTAAATATGCAGGGTTGTCAGGGTGTGCAATGATGGGATGGAAAATGTCAGGGATGGGTGTGAGCAATGTACTGAAAGCTAATTACCCCTCTTTAGTCTGTTACCAGTGGTGGAAAAACGTAAATAGCGTGTCCGTGGACCGGGAATTTCACAGGGGTTGCAGAAACCTAATGCCTTGCACGGCAAATTAGAGAGTTCCAGGGCGGGAGGAGCTAACAGGTGTGTGTTCAAGGTAAAGCCCCTTTTTTATAACCAGCACTGCATCCTGCTTGCCTCCCCCGGTCAGTCCATGGGGAAGATTGGCATCGGATCTCCCAGGCTGCTGGCCTTGGAAAGGGGCAGCAGGGCTGTTGAGCTGCTGCTGTGGTGGGCAGCAGGCACGGCTGCCCCGTGTCCCCAGGCTGTGCCCACGGGCTGTGTTGGTGTGAGTGGCATGGCCCAGGTCCCCTGTGAGAGGAGTCACTGTGTGGAGAGGGCCCCTCGGCTGCTCCTGCTCACAGCTCGTCCCGCTCCTCCTCGCTGCAGATGCAGGCGCTCCTCTGGCTGTTCATGAAGGGCCGGCAGCCCAGCGTCCACACGGCGTTGAACACGGTGTCTGCCACCGACTCGCAGGCTGGGGACAAGCACAGGGACAGACAGGTGAGTGGTGGCACCCACTGAGCTCCCTGGGCTTTGGGGTTTGCCCCTTGGGGGCTCTCATCCTCCCCCTGGGAACTGCATCCTTAGAGACCCCAAGGTTCCCTTCTGTGGGACCAGGGGCTCCTCTGCTCCCTCTTCTCTCCCCTCTCACCCCCTCCTTTCATGCCTCTCTCAGGCTTTACGGGGTGATGGATCACCTGGGGCTCTGCAAACAGCACTGTTTACCAAGCATATTTCCCAGGAGTCTTTCCTGGCTCCCTCTCCCCTCAGTTTAGCCTGTAGCCACTCTTAACCAACCTTGTTGTGCTTTTGGAGAGTTATGATGCCAGCAGGAAAAATCCTCCTGCAGTTGGAACAGCTGAGTGCCTGACTGCTAGCCCCTCCTCATCCCAAAAAGCAACCCTGAAACTGCTTGTCAGTAAATAATTGGTCATTATTAGGACTTTAGGGTTTACTCACTGGCATAACATTGATTGTTGTATGCATAATAAATTTGGGGAAGCCTTGCCTTTGGGACTGTCTTCTCCCATCTCAGACTCTCCGAGCACCTCGGAGCTCCTGCTCCTTTGGGAGTTGAAGAGGCTGTGATGAGTCAGTGGTAAAACCAAGGCTTTGGCAAACTGGCACTTGCTGCAGCTGGGATGTTTGTGCCCACACGAAGGGAGTGCAGCTGCTCTTCCCCTGCCTGCTTTCCCTGGGCTCCTGGTGAGTCAGTGGAGAGGATCCCAGAGAAGTGACACGGTGGGGAGCCATCTGCACTAGTACTGCTGTTACAGACCTCCCATGTGTCCTAATCAGGCTGTGCCTTCAGAAAACAAATGCATATTGAAGGACACCTTACAGCAGGGCATCAGCAGAGATTACCAAACACAGCCCTTACCAAAAAGCTCTTCTCAGACTTGCAGAATGAGCCTTTTAAAATTTAGGCAAACCCAGGGTGGCACTTGAGCTGCTGACACATCACTAGAGCTTTCATTAGCACTCCTGGGCAGTCCAGACCTGCCCTGGATGGCTCAGCAGTGGCTCAGCCACCACCCACACTGTGGTGTGTCCCTGCAGCCATCAGCATCTCTTATCTGGGAACCACATCCCGGACAGTCCTGTCCTTGGTCTCCCAGCTTGTTGGCCCTTGGCCACAGACAGGACAGGTTTAGTGTGTGGCTTTGGTGGCTCTGGAAAGTTTTTGGTATCCTATGTTTGAACTCTTTGGGAGGGCATCTAAGCTTTGAAGGAATTGCTTCCAGGGTTTTTTTGTTAGGTTTTGGGGGGTTTTTTGTTAGGTTTTTGGGGGTTTTTTTCCTTTCTACATTGTAATGTTTTCCAAATGCCAGAATACCTGTAGGTCTCCAGCCTCAGGACAGAAGTGTGTGGCAGAGGGGGCAGATCTGTGTTCTCACCCATCTCTGACCCACCAGTGACAAGTGCAGGGCAGAAGTGCTGCTCCCTACTGCCGATTTTTGCTTCTTCTGGCAAGGAAAAAGGGCTCTTTGCCCTCCCCCTCCCCTCCCTCCCCAGGGAATGCCAGCCCGGGAGCCCACCTTGGACCTTGGAGACGAAGCCGAGGCTGCGCTTGAGGTCGGAGCAGATGGAGTGGAGGCACCAGCGGAACTTGGCGTCACAGCGGTACTTGTTGGCCCCGCAGGTGTCATAGCAAATGTCCAGCTGGTTACAGCACTTGGTCATGGCAGGGATGCCCAAATCTAGCTGGGGAAAGAGAAAAGAAGTGTCCCTGGGCTGTGTCCTGGCCTCAGGCTCACACAGCTGTGACGGGTGAGGTGCTGCAGAGCCCAGCTGGTTCCTTCTCCAGAAGTTTCCCCGGATAGCTGGGGCAGAAGGAGGGAACGTGTGATGCTCCCTCACCATCTGAAGAAAGTGGGGACAGTGGTGCAGATTCAGTGCAGGGTAGATCCCATCCCCTTCTCCCCTCTCTGTCACAGGGAATAAACCTCTGGCAGGGAGGGGGAAACAGCCCCTCCACAACCATTTGCTGGTTTTCATTTGTCTGAGCTCATCAGACAGCTCCATGTCCTTGCCAGCAGTGGCAAAAGCCCCTTTTTCCTCCTTTTCCCAAAATGTAACAAGTCCTGCATTTTGGCCTAATAAATCTGCCATAGGTGTTTCTAATGACTTATTTCTCAGAGATGCACTTGTGAGGCCAAGGACAAACACGGTGTGGTCAGGGGAGTTCTGCTCTCCTGGAGTAAACAGCAAGCTTAGCTAATAACCGTGGGAGTGAGGGGGCAGAAGGGCTGTCTTCTGGAGAGATTGGACTCATTAGCTTGTTATAAATTATTCCTCTTTTTGGCCTTCCTCATGTAATATTTAGGAGATGAATTGTTCCTTCGTTGTGCCCGTGATTGCCCATGTCAGGAGGAGCTACCACAGACATACCCACAAGGTTTGCAATGAAATAGAGCTTAAGGGACTAAACCTAACATGGAAAATGGGCTGCAAAGAGAGGGGCTTTCAGAGCAGGAATCTGCCTAATTGCTGCAGACTTCATGGGCTGCATGAGCTAAAGGGGAATTCCTGCTCTGAGAGCCTCCTGGGAGTGCTTTTCCCAGCGACTCCAATATGATTTCATTAATTGCCTTTAAAATAACAGGCAGGTGTAGCATCAAAACCCGTGTGTGTAATTCAGTGCTTGGCAGAGGCAAAAAGCCTGGGAGTGGTGGAGGATGCACTCAGGTGTTGCTCTGTGCACACTCTCACCGAGCTTCCCAGCACTGAACACGTTCCCTTCTCCCTTCTCGGAATTATGGGCTGGTTTTGGGACTGGGGAGCTGCCCCCTTTGGGAATGGGGGTGTGGCAGTACATACACTTTCAGGTACCTTGAGCCCCAGAAAATTGGAGCTGCAGCCGTTGGGTTCCTGGGGCTTGTAGTGAGGTCGTGGCATTGGAGCCTTCCCTGGGAAAGAGAGGACAAGGGTTAGGAAAGCCCATCTTCCCAAGAGGTAGCACCAAAAAGCAAGGAGTGGCAGACAGCTCCCCTTTGGTCTGCATCCCCAAAGGCTTCATTCTGGTCCAGGAATGTGCCTCCTGAGAGCTCTGCACAGCTGGGATCACCCAGGTGGGGGTTTAACTCCTGCAAGAAGCTGCCAGTTACACCACTAGCTTAGCAAGGGGTTTCTGTCCACCCTCAGTTCTTCCTTGGTGTTGGTGTGCTATGAGGCTCCACAAAATTGTGTTAGACCTTGCATGTCTGATCTGACTCTGAGCAGGTCTTCTTGGTCCATTTTCTGCAGATGGGGATGCACTGCCACGTTTTGCAAATCGTTTCTATTCCTTTAATCCCTGCACCTCCCTCACTCTGCTTCTTGATATGCATAAAGGAGCAAGAATTCCCTCTATGAGTAATTATTTACCTAATGCAGAAAGAGTCCAGCAAACAGTAAGTGGCTTCAGCAGCATTTTAATCATTTTATTCTGATTTTTGAAGGTGTGCAGGCCCTCCTGTGTCCCAGCCATGCTGGAGTTCTGTGTATGGCTGACAGAGAGCTCTGGGCGTGAGGGGTGGGTGCTCAGGACTGGGGTGGGAACCATCCATGTGGAAAGGAGATGTGGCTATTCCCTGCCCTGTCTCATCCTCTTTCTGTTATCCCCACCTCACCCCCATCTCCGGCTAAGCCAACACCCCCTGTTTGGGGAGAACAACTCTCCAGGCTGCGTGTGTGCCTTGGTCCTGCTGCACAAGGAGTGTGTTTGAGGGTGGGAGAGGATTCTCCCCTGGAGAAGTTGTGGAGACCCCCCTCAGGGAGCTGGGTTTCTCTGTGCACTCCCTCAGTGTGTGTTCAGTGCTTGTTTCAGTCCCAGCTGGGTTTGTAAAAGGGGGATCTCCAATGCAGAGTGAGGTGTTAAAACATTTGTCACAGAATATCCTCAGTTGGAAAGGACTCACAAGGGTCACCGAGTCCAACTCCTGGGGCTGCCCAGGACACCCCAACAATCCAACCCTGTCTCCAAACCCTCCTGGAGCTCTGGCAGCCTTGGGGCTGTGCCCACTGCCCTGGGGAGCCTGTTTGGTGCCCAATCACCCTCTGGGGGAAGAACCTTATTCTAATATCCAGCCTGACCCTCCCTGACACAGCTCCAGCCATTCCCTGGGTCCTGTCACTGCTCTGGGAAGACACTGTAAGCTGTGTGACTGTTCCAACAAAGACATGTGAGCTGAGTCTTCTCTAAGTCTGTCACATCAAGGGTTAAGTTTCTGCTTCCCTGAGCACTGCTAGAGAATTTATATAGACATTAAATGGATCTAGTTCAGCCCTTCAGACAGGGTTGGGTTCTTTTAAACTCAATTTCCACTGCTTTCTCCTTGTCAGCACCGATAATTATTTAAGACTCGTTCCCCTTTTTTGTGTTGAGGTACCTAAAATGCCAGTGGTTAATATAGCCATAAATCTACTGTGCTCTTGAGAAGACCTCACAGCCAAATGCCTCAAAAGGTCTTATGTAGGAGTGTTCCCAGCACCTGCTCAGTTAAAAATTGTCAGGGTGGTTTAGTTTAAATAACAGATTTGCAACAAATAAAGAAGAAACTGAAATCCTGTTCAGCTGTGAGATGCCAACAGCCAATTTTCCCCTTCCAAAGGAGCCTTGTTGTTCTTTTGGAAGGGGATGAGAATTCAAACTCAGAATTCAAATGTTCCTGAGCTGAGGTAGGAGGCAAAGTTCAAAATCCACAGTGGGTTTTGCAGGATGGAGTCAAATTGGAATTACTTGCTTGTAATATTAAGTTATGTTCCTGCAGCACATTGCCAATTAATGGGGTAAGGTAAGTCAGAGCAGGGGTGAGGCTGTTTGGGGATATGGAGAGTTCCAAGCTCCATCATCCGGTTCCAAGCCACGGATAACTCTGTTTCCAGAGCAAACCTTCCATTAAGCTGACGTCACAGCTGTTAGAATGCCTTAGAAAGTTGTCCTGAGGAAAAAACCCTCACGTGAGAGGTGTGGTGATAACAAAACACTGAACTGCCTCCGAGATGAGCCCTTGTAGGAAACCTGCCCCCTCCTCTCTGAAAATAGAGCTTAATAATTTGTAAAGTGCCTCTTTGTGAACTCTTACTCCACTATTAACCTCTCTCCCACGCCTTGTTTTCTAGTTAACAGGAAAACAAAAGCAGATCAGAAACACCAGGCGTTCCAACTCTCCACGAGCATCAACTCCCTGCTCCTGTTCCCACTTATTGCTTGCCCATCCTTGCAGTCAAGAAAATATATTCCAGGGCACTGCCTTGTTGGCAGAGCCTTGGAACTGAAGTTGAGTGTCCCTGCTGCAGTTTGAGGTCTCCAGGCTGTTGTAGCTGTTCCCAGGGGCTGGAGAGCAGCCAGCTGGCTGGAGCAGCTGCTGCCCATGCAGGAGGTCCCACACACTGCAGTGCTGGGACCCTGGCAGGGGAGGTGTGTTTCTGCCTGAATAGATGGTCTCGGGGCTCCTGGCACTTTTGGGTGGTCCATTGTTGTTTCTGTGCCCCAGGCAGGCTTCGAGCAGAGGTTCCCCTGCTTACCACAGCCTTTTAGTGCAGTGCTGGAGAGCCTGACTTTGAAGGCTCTTTTCCCACAGCCTGGAGGTGCCTCCTCATCTCAAGGCCTTCAGGGCCAAATGCTGGGCAAAGCATTGAAGTCCTGCCTGGTCAGAGAGCTGAAGGAAGCTACAAAGGCTTTACTCCCAGCTCAGACTCTTTGTTTCCCCTGAGGTGCCCAGGGGGACTTTGTAAGCAGGAGCAGCTGTTTGCCAGTGAATGCCAGTGTAACCCTGATGTCCTGATTTAAGGGAATAATCCATCAAGTTGTTTGTTTTCAGACCTCACTAACTGCTGAAAAATCAAGAGTCTTAGAGCCAAGTGCCATGTGCTCAGCTGAAGATGGATGTGGCAATCAGAGGTGAGTCCTGACCTTTACTGGGGCAAAATAAGCTATTATTGGTATTTCTTGGCTGAAATGAAAGAAAGTAGAAGGCATAATTTTTTTGCTTTGTGCCTGGGGAAGAAAAGCATTCAGGCCCTGATTCAGCATAAAGATGGTTTGTGTTTGTTCTTGTGGGCACAGGCTGGATCTCACTGGTTTGGGATCATCCTGGCATCTTCTGCACTCACAGTTTGCAATGTCTGTGCTAGAGACTGGCACGGACAAATGGTCCTGGAAGGGTCCAGCAAGACCCTTGGAGGCACATGGGCAGTGTTTCAGTAGTTTCCTCCTTCAGCCAGTGATTAATGAGTTGTTGAGCAGAGGATGAGAACTGGGATAACGATGTGCTTGTTCCTTTTCCTTTCTAGGTAAAACACTCTCCAGTGAAACACAGGATGCTCTGGGGTTTGTGCTGCTCTCTGGAGATGCTCTTCACAGGGACAGAGGCAGGGAGAGACTCGGGGTGTGTCCAAAAGCAACGACTTCTGCAGGATTTGGTGAGTCCCTGAAAGCAGCTCTGAACACCAGCGTTGCCTCAGGCCCACTGCAGCCCCAGCCACGTTATTCCCCACCCAGGGCTTTCAGCCTTTGCATTAAGAAGGGCAAGCCCCTTTCTGCTCTGAATTTGGAGCACAGTGTGGACCTTTAGGAGGTTGTCACTGCCACACTGTGACACGGGGACAGGCTGCCCCATGGGCACGTGGCCCCATGCTGTGGGGTGTGTGGGGGCTGCCTCCCCCAGGCACTGGGGACACCAGTGGCCCTCCTGAGCTGCTGCAGAGAGGCAGCCTGAGCTGGGGGGGCTGGGGGGCCCTGGGCTGAGGTGTCTGACTCCCTCCATTCCATGGGGAGGAGTTGCCTGGCCTGCTGCCCTCTGTTTACTGTTAGCGTGGGACCTGGGGAGCAGAGCTGGCAGGAGTGGGAGGACAGATACATATACATGTTATTCAGAAACAGAACAAGAAACCCAACAACTTTCAGACTGATTTTAACCTCCCTGTGGCCCCATTTTGGCTAAGCATGCCCCCTCTGCCCCTGACAGTGGGCTCAGGTCATCCCTGCAATATCTGTTTCTCCCAGCACCCTGGCTGGGAGGGGCAGGAGGTCCATGGGATGCATTCAGACTGAAAGGGAGTCAGTGGGATCTCCCCAAAGCATGGAGTGTTTTTGTGAAAATCGATGGTCAGGGAAGGAGAGGGGTTGAAATCCCTCTGTGCTCACAAGCACCTTGCCTGGGCAGTCACTAGGGGTGTGGGATGAAGCTGGGGGAAAGGGGCTGCCAGGCTGCTGTGGATGGGCAGGCTGAGGTGACAGAGGACAAGATTTGCTGTGGGGACAGTTGCAGGAGGCTGGGGAGAGGATGCAGTCCGTAGGAAGCCTCCTTGCTTGCTCCCAAGCAGGTTGTTTCAGCAGGTACCCTGCTGATGGTGGTGCTGCCCGTGTCTGTCACCCCACAGACCTGCAGCTCTGCACACCCTGCCCTGCCCTCCCTGAGACCCCCTTCATCCTGCCCCTGGCACAGACCAAATTCCTCCTTTTTGGTAAATCGCTCTAAAGTGCAAGGCAAGCGAGAGCTGCCTCATTCCACCGCGAGTACTAAATGTTCCCCCGGTCTCCTCCCTGTTCTTTCCCCTCCTCCAGCTCACAGCTGCTGGATAAGGGCACTCTGAGAGTTGCTGAGGTTGGGGCCGCGGGCTCAGCCTGCCCTCTGGGGCCTCTCTGCCCACCCTGCCCTTCTGCAGGGCTCCAGGCAGCTGGGCAGCCTGGGTACCCCTGTGCCCCTCCTGCAAAACCTGGGTCCTCTCCTCCTTGCCACCCTGCCCGGGGCTCTGAGCTCGGGCTGTTCCTGGGCACAGGGAGGGATGAGGGCTCAGTGTCCCTGTGCGGGCATGGCAGAGAAGGTGTGACCGTGCCGAGCACAGCAGGGGCAGGTCATGGGGAGCAGAGCTGGCTGTGCTCAGGGAAGGAGAGGGGAGCCAGCAGCAGTGAGGGCACTCACCGTACCGACATCTGTACTGACAGACGCCGTTCTTCCCCCCGAGCAGCTCCAGGAAGGAGTCGAAGTAGCTGTTGACCGTTTCGAAGCCGTCCCGGATGGTGTCGATGCCCCAGTCGGAGTAGGATGACTCTGCCTGTGGGTCCTGTGTGCCCTCCCCTGCTGCCCCCTCGGAGCACTGCCCCGGCCCCAGGCAGAGGCACAGCAGCGCTGCCCGGAGCAGCAGCCCCATGCTGCAGTGCAGCCCCGGAGCCTCGGGAGCAGTGGGATGGAGCTGCCCTGGGTGGGAGGCAGGTAAGCACCCCCTCCCTGGACTTTAGACACTGCCGGGGAGCCGGCATGAGGTCACTGCAGCCGGAGAGCAAAGTGCAGCGCCGGGATTCGGGCCCAAGTTCACCTCTCAGAGGTGTGAGTTTGCACAATCCCGCTGGAACAGGCTCAGCCCCCGGGGCTCCAGCTCCCCGAGAGGGACCCCTCCCTAAGGGGCTGAGCGGGGTCTGTCTGCCCAGGACCCTCCACCTGCCCCATAAGGCCACCCCACTCCCTCCCCAGCCTGTTGGGGGATGAGTATCTCTGTCCAAAATTTCTGCTGCCCAAGCAGTAGATCAGCACACTGAGGAGCACCCCTTGCCTTTTCCAGTGCCTGCTGGGTACGGGATAGGGTGGGATGAGACCCAGCCTAGCTGCTCCCAGCAAACCCTGTGGGACCACAGAGCCCCAGAGGGATCGATCCAGCAACTTAGAATAGTTTGGGGTTACAAACACTGCATTGGAGCAATTCCTTGGCATCACCTCCACTTCCAGTATCAGTGCTGTAGATGAGTATTTGCCTTTGATGGGGCTCCTGAAGGCTGATGTTACAGCTTCTATGGAATGCCAGCATTGCCAAATTAAACACACATTGCTGACCCAGAGTGAGGAAGGGCTGGCACCAAACCCTGAGCCAGGAAAGGGGCTTGTAGGGGAGCTGCAGGTCCCAGCTCTGGGGTGGGACTGCCCTGCCAGAACCCAGGGCCCTGCACAGCTGATGGACAGTTCAAGGAAATTACTCCTTGAAAAGGAAACAATCAAATGAACACGAGCAGCAGAAAGACAAGGCAAACCACTGATAAAGAATAGGGAAGGAAAATGGCATGGGAAGCCTCTGGCTGCTCTCAGAAAACTTTTGGGATGTGTCCCAGCACAGCACTGCTCCTCAGGGGGAGCTGGGCAGCAGGTCTTTCAAATATATGGCAAACACAAACACCAATTCTGGCATTTTATTGTCTTGCAGGATATTCAGCCTCACTGTGTTGCTGCTTCTGAAGGGCCAGAGCCCCGTGGTAGTGCCTGTGTCTTTCTGGATATGGCCATGTGTGATGTGCTCCAGACCTGGGATAAAGGAGGAAGGACCACAGCCAAGTCTTGGTTTCCCAGGCAGGTAAGTCAGAGAAGTGGGGAAGAGGAGCAGACAAGGTGGTTGGTCCCATTCCTGTGGAATGGTGTGGAGCCAGAGGCAGCTGCTGCCTTCTTGTTCCATCTGTTCTGAGGCCCAGCTCTACTTGGGCTCAGTTCCTGGCTGGGGGGAACATGTGAGGAGTGCAGGAGATCCAAAGGGAACCTCAAACCAGCTTTGTCTTTTGAGAGCTAAACCTGGGTGCAGAGAGCATTGGGAAGGGGGGTTGGCAGTGTCCAAGCTGCAGACAAGGAGGGGGAGCACTGTAATGCCTGGTGAGAAATTAGGGTGATGTTTTGGGCTGAGCTAGAGGTGCCAGGTTGCTCCCAGAGAGTCTGTTCCCTGGATCCTGGGAACCAGCCAGCCCCTGCCTCTAAGTGAGCCTTTTGTGACACCTGTGTCACCCCTGGCACAAAGCACAGGATGGTGAAGTAAGGATTTCCTGCAGGAGCACTGGAGAGCTCAGGCTTGTCCTGCTGTTCAGACCCTGCTGGGGACTGATCTGTTGGTTGTGGGTGGAAATGGTCCCTGGAATTTGGTGCCAGGGAGCCCCAGTGAAGGGAAAATCGGGCTTAGCAGTCCCGTGCTGTGTCTTTGGTGTCTCTGCTCAATCCCTGTCCTGCCTGACACTCCAGTTTGCAGTCCCAGTGCTCCCAGCCCTTACCAACAGCCTGGCAGAAGTTAAAAAGCCAACCAGCTGTTTAGGAATGGCTTGGAAATGTGTAGAGCCCCTGGGTGTCTGTGCTTGGTGCCATGCTTTTATATGGAGCCTTTTAGGGTTGCTCCAGAGGCAATTCCAGAACGCAGCTTTTTTTTGTCATCCTTTGGTCCCTGGTGCCTGATCCATGTGCTGCTGAAGGCAAACAGAGAGGGAAAAAATGCCGGCAGGGGATGCAAACCACAGGGAATTGTGTCATGAGCAGGACATGCAGCCTGGAGGGGGTGGCTCTGGAGCCCAGGCTGTTTGCAAAATCAATTGGAATTAGTTAGGAAAGCTGAATAGGGTGGGGAGGGAGGAGCTGGCAAAGTGCAGAGCCCGGGAAAAGAGGAGTCAGAAACTTTCCTGCCCGGTTGTCACTTGCCCTGGAGCAACGGTTTGTGAATAAAAAGCAGTTTAACTGCTTTTCCAAAACGTGGCAGCCCCTGTGCCCTGCCCTGGGGATGAGCCACTCTCCTTCCTCCCTCCCTCCTGCTTCCTTCCTCCACTCCCCACACCAGTCTCCTGAGACGTTTCCAGTCCAGCTGCAAATAGCCCGGTTGCACCCAGACTTTAAGATCTGAAGACCAGGAAAAATGTAGGATTGAGTAAAAGTGACCCACAGTTCCCTTGGGGAGCAGCGAGGAACTCCCCGACATGGGTGTGCACAGCAGGTACCTGGCCTTGGACCCACTGCAGCTGAAAATGCCCCCTCCCTGGGCCGGTTTTGCTCTCTCTGAAGATTGAGATGCTGTTTGTGAACTCTGACAGCTGGGTTCTGAACCTTGTCCTGACCCCGGGGTACACTCCTGACTCGGTGCATTCATTTGTGCCTCTGTAATGCTCAAATATAGAGCGGCCCCGGGCTGGGGTGAGTCACACATTCCCAGGGACACTCAGGCTGCTGGCAGCCCTGCAGCAGGAGGGAGAGGTGACTGTACCCAGAGGGAGAGGTGACTACACCCGTCCCAGCGCTGGGCGCCTGCGTCCCCCACGCTTACGGGAGTGAAGCCCATCCCATATGGAGCTGGAAAATCTCTCTTGGCTTCACACTGGGAGCAGCTGGAGCTGCTCCAGCTCCTCTAGTGCCTTCCCTTCTCAGAGCACGCTGCCATAGGTCTGTGCTGTGCCGGGATCCTTCCCTTGGTGTCCTGCTGGGGGTGTGGGATTGAGGCACTGAGCTCTTCTTCCCTGGGCTTTGGATGGCTCCAGGTCTTGCTGGTCGGTGTTTAGCACAGGGAAGAGGCAGCTTGTGGTTCAGGTCAGTGGGTGATCCGTGGCTGCTCCAAAGGCTGGGTTGGGAGCCAGATGAGTCACTGATTATGGGAACAGAGAAGTGCAGCTCAGTGACGAAATACCCAAGGCTGAGTCGGTCAGAGTCCAGCAGCTGGAGGAAGATGGGTGGGTGGGTGAAGATTCCCTCCCTCATGGGGGCTGTGCTCAAGTGTGTGAGCAGGTCCAGTCTCTCCAGGAGTCCCTGGACAGGTCCCTTCAGCCCTGTGCTGCCTTCCCCCATCCATAGGAGGTGATTCTGCCCCTCAGGTGAGACCCCCCTGCAGAGCTGCTCCAGCCCTGGGAACAGCACAGCAAGGACATGGAGCTGCTGGAGCCAGTCCAGAGGAGGCACCAAGGTTATTAGAGGGATGGAGCACCTTTCCTATGAGGAAAGGATGAAAGAATTGGGATTGTTCAGCCTGGAAAAGATAAAGTTCTGTGGAGACCTTAGAGCCCCTTTCAGTGCCTAAAGGGGCTCCAAGAGAGCTGCAGAGGGATTTTGGACAAGGGATGGAGTGACAGGACAAGGAGGAATGGTTTTAAATTGACAGACAGCAGGTTTAGATATTGGGAAGGAATTGTTCCCTGTGAGGGTGGGGAGGCCCTGGCACAGGTTGCCCAGAGAAGCTGTGGCTGCCCCTGGATCCCTGGAAGTGTCCAAGGCCAGGTTGGAGGGGGCTTGGAGCAACCTGGGCTAGTGGAAGGTGTCCCTGCCCATGGCAGGGGGTTGGAATGAGATGCTCTTTAAGGTCCCTTCCATCCCAAACCATTCTGGGATTGTGTGATACTGTCAGACCCTTCCCTTCATCTCATCCCTGCCCTGTGACATTCACAGGCCCTTTTCCCTATCCCTGACCCTGTCCTGCCCTTTCAGCTGTAGCTGCTCAGTCCTTACCCTGGGGGGGTTCCTCCTGTGGTTGTGATCCCCGTGGACATGCTCTGGGTGCAGCTGTGCCAGGAGAGCCCCAGGTGGAATGGTAGGAAGCCACAGCACCTGAGCACTGGTCAGGGTGTCCCAGGGCTGATCCACTGCTCTTCCCTCCCTCCAGGGGAGGGGCAGGGCCTGCCTTGCTGAGCAGGGCAGCAGCACGGAGTGGCTGGGCATGGAATCCAGCCTCCTTTCCAAAATAAACCAACGCTGGTACACTTCAGACTCATTTCCTGTCCTGTGGCTGCCAAATCCACCAGCACATCAGCTGTGTCCGTGGGCAGTTCCTGCCCCTGAGCCAAGTGCTCTGTCAGCAGCACAAGGCTCCCTTCCACAGGCAGGAGGATCAAAGGCTTCTGACCAGCCCTTGCTGTGCTTTTTGCAGGTTCCTGATGGCCACGAATTAAGCAGGAGCTCCACTGCTCCCAAGGGTGAAGCCCAGGAATGGCTGTGGTCTATAAACCACCGAGGGTTGGATAAGGAAGATGTCAGCCTGACCTTCCTACACGTGAGTGCTTGGTCTTCCTGTGGTGCTGTTGGAGTCTCTGGTGCTTTCTTCCCCCCCTAGAACTATCCAGAGTAAGTGGTTGTTTGACCTCGGGCTTCAGGAACCAGATTTGTCACCCTTGGGAAAGGGTCTGTGAGCAGCTGCCCCTCTGCTGTGCCTGTTCCAGCCCCAGATCTCGGGTGGTTACTGAACCCACCAACCACTGCCCTGGGACACAAAGGCTGGGCCACACTCCTCCCCCAGAACTCCTTGCCCTAAATTTTTAGGCACAAGGTGCTTTGGGCCCAGCACTATCTGCCCTCCCCTTTTGCAGTCCTTCAGTGCCCAAAGTGTAGCATTTAACAGGAATTTGTGACGGGAGCATCTCCTGCCCCTGCCCCCCGAGGCGGTGAAGGGAGGAAGATGAGCTCCATCTTCCACAGTGCTAAACCCCTGTGTGATGAGATTTACAGCAGCCACATACAGGACAGCTGGATGTGGAGGATTTCTCACTGCTGATGGCAGTGGCCTTTATTTGAAGCCCGTTCTCTTTTTTTTTTCTCTTTTTTTTTTTTTACATAAAAAATTTTATTACAAAAAAAAAGTAACAGTAAGGCAGTTTCTCAGCTGTCAGTCACTGTGAGCCAAACAGTTTTCAAACATCTTTAATACAAAACTAGATTCACACAGGAGCCACGCTCGGGATCCAAAAGCCCTTTGAGAAATGGGGGTAAGGCAGAAAGCAGCAGCACCAGTGGAATCCCTCACAGTCAGCATTGGGTACATGGACACTACTGCAGTGGAGGGAGTAGAAACAGGGATTGTCTGCAGTTTAAAAATATCAAATGACCTTTTGTCATAATCTGGGATGTTCCTGATGTGCCTCAGCAGACTGGAGGTTTGCTTTTGGGGGACTTTTTTTTTTTTTAATCAAGTGAAATTTTCCAATGTCAAAAGACAAATTATTTTTCTTTCCTGAAGAATTTTCTTGGAGTAGTTCACTGCTTTAAAAAGTCGTGCACTAAACCATTTTCCCTCCCCAGGCAATGCCTCTGAGAGACCTTCCTTAAAATGCTGTTTATCACTGGAAGTACTGGCTGGTACTGAGGTGAGGGAAGGAGCTGTTGAGCAAAATTCCCCAGCTCCAGCTTGTGGTTCATCCTTGGCTGTTGGTTGAAGGGAGATGGGAATAGCAAACCCAAGTGCTGTTTTCCACCTCTGTTCATGGTGGCAGCACAGGGATTTCCTTTTGTGCTTGTTCACTGTGTGGGACTGGCTCCCTGCAAGCATTTATGGACACCCCAAAGGCAAGATCCCCAACACCACACTGCTCATTGTATCCTTTTTTTACTTGCAGGGAAGTGGCAGGAGGTACCTGCAGCCATGGAGCTTATGAAACTAAAAAAGATGGCAAAGAGAAAAAAAGAAGACCATGGATAGGAATGGAGATGGACAAAAAAGGGAGAAAACTCAGGTAGGCAGAAATATTATGTTGGGTTTTTTTAATGATTACAATGTAGCACTCAAAGATCCCCTCTGCTCACCCAGCTCTTGAATTCCTTTAGATCAGCTGCTGCTCTGGGGGAGCAGCTGCCTGGAATAAAGGAGCAGTGCAGATGTGAGACTGTATTTGTGTCCTGAGGTGCTGGATGGACTTTGCTTCCCCTCTGCCCAAAGCACAGGCCCAGTGCAGGGAGGAGCAGGGCTGAGGAGGAGCAGCTCTGTGGCCCCACTGCTGCCAGGCTCAGCAGGAATTCAACAATGCATTTTCCAGCAAAGACCTTAAAGTGTCTTCTGATCCTCCAACTATAGTACCTTGAACTGCACTCCCAGTATTCCAGAGGTATTTCTAGCACGTTAACAATTGGTTTTGTCTACGTTTCGGCTCAATTTTCAAGACTTTATTGAGGCAGAAGACCCAATTAACCAAAATTGGAATTTTTTCCTTGGCAAAGACTTCAGGCTTCACCCCTAATCAGTAAAACCATAATCATCCAGAAAATTGGACTGTTTAGGTAGAGTCAGGTGCAGCTCCCTTTGATTTTTGCCCTCATGCTAGTGGAGTAGTTGGTTATTTTGCTATAAAAATCCTGCTGTGGAAGGGACAGGGTTCATGACAGTGAGCCTGCATCTAAAGAAGGGTCAGGACTATAAATAAATAGGGTGACAGTTTCTCAGGAAACCTCGAGAGCTGTGAGGAGGATGAGGGTGGAGAGCATTCTGTGAGGACTCTGTGTCACCTCAGCACCTGAAGTCTCTTCACCAATTTGAAATTCCAGCGTCCTAAGGCACAACTATTTTGATTAATGAAGGTGGGAACATCCCACCCCCTGCCCGAGGAGCAGATGGAAGAGCTGGCTGCTGGGACAGAACAAAAGCAGCATTTGTTCACGTGGACAAACATTCCAGAGGTGGGGAAAGGTGGGCTGTGGGTGTTGTCAGGCTGCTCTGACACAGGCACAACACTGGGGAAGCGTCCTGGCCGTGCCTGTGGAACTGCTGGCTCATGGTGTCAAGGTTAGGAGCCAAATTCCCCACAGGGGCCAAGAAGGAAGACAATTTAAAACTTGGGGGGCTTTTGTGCATGTGGGAGAACAGGTTAAAACGTGGTAATAACCCATTTTCCAGAGAAACACAAAGGATGCCTGCAGTTCTCAACAGCAGTGGTCAGGCACTCTGGGAAAACAAGGAGCTGAATGTCTGGAAATTCAGCAATAGGAATGGGTGTAACTCAGAGTTCCTTAGAGGGGAGCCCTCCCATGACATCCCCCCTGTTTTCCCACACTGCTCAGAGGGATGATGGTGACAGGAACACCACACACAACACCACAGTTAGTTGTGGCCCTCATCTGTATTTTGTCCTTTTTTTTTTCCCGGTAACACTCGTAAACCTCAATATTTTCTGTTCATAAAACCTCAGGGGGTACTGGGAGGGAACTAAAAGCACGTTTGTCCTGTCCACAGCTGGGGGGGACTGAACCTGGAGTGGAGTGTTAGTCAGTTGTAAACTGTTGGAGATGTGCATTGACAGGGACTGACGGCTCTGCATCATTCCAGCTCCGATAACGTGCACGGCCTTCGGAATTCCTGCCCCCGCTCGTGCAGCCATTTGTTGGATACTGCAAAGACACAAAGGGATTGGATCACTGCCTGTGGGGAGCTCCTGCTGAAGGTAAATGTGCTGTTGGTTAAGCACAGCATTATCTTAGTTTCTTAAAGAGTTTGAGTTGTGGAATCCCAGGATTTGGGTCGGAAGGGGCATTAAAATCATCTCGTTCCAACCCCCTGCTATGCACAAATGTGAAGTTGGTCTAATAAATACAAGAAGGAAAAAAACTTCCCTGCAAAACTACAGAAGACTCTTAAAAGAGATACAGTCGTACATGTATTTTATACATAAAATATGCTGCTCTATAGAATATCTGTAATGTATAGGGATGAAGTAGATAAAGTAAATTAAATAGACTTCTTTATAAAGAACTGCATTTCTGGGTGCTTTTTATCCCACCATGAAGTACAGAGGAAAAGGCAAAGCAAGGCAAGGCCCCCCCAAGGCCCAGGCTGGGGTCCCAGGCAGGTACTCACCCCATTTATTCCCCACTAGGACCGGGCAGGCCGCGTGCCGGGTGCTGTAATCGCCTTCTCCACTCGGGAACAGGTTGTACCAGAACACAGCTGTTCCCTGGAATGGCAGGGACACCCTCAGCACTCTGCTCTGCACAACACACACTTAAACACCAACTCACTTCAGGATAAAGCACAGGTAAGTGCATTTGTATTTCGGATTCTTTTACACTGGAGGATCTTTTCTACAGTCTAACATTTCCTTCCTTAGGAATGAGTCCCCTTTGACTTATTTTGTGTCCGTGTAATGCTTGGCTCTTCATTATTTTTTAAACCCCAGGACAGTGTCATTGAAGTCCCGACCAGGTTTAGAAAGCAAGATTATTTACTAAGAAGGAGCAGGAGGCCAGCCAAAGTAGACCTTATTTGAGACCCTGCTGAGGGAAAAACCTAACAGGAACATGACATTCCAAGGAGAATTCCCTACAGCCGCCTCAAGACTAAAACAACTTCAGAGATGTGAATGTTTTCAGGATGTGTTTGGAAGCACTGTGATGTTTTGCAGTCTGTGCATTAGAAGCAGCCAAGTTCCAAATGTAACCCAGGGAATGTGGGGGCCCTTGGAATCACCAGCACTGCTCTGAACTGTGAGCACCTCTGTGCTGCCATGAACAGGGCTGGGATTTTCCCTCTTTTAAAGGTTCATTTAAAGCTTCTTTCATGCCTGTGCTGTATTTTGAGGAGAAATCCCTGCTCACCTTTCTGGGCCAGACGCTGGCTCCGACTTCAGGAAAGACCGTGGCTCCCCCTGCTGCCACGTCACTCATCTGCACAGGTGGGAAACACAGGTGAGAAACAGGTGAGTTCAGGCAGCCTCGGGGGCTCTCAGGGCTCAGTAAAACAGGGTCAGGGTATTGCAGAAGTTAATTTACACCTCCCTCAAAGAGGCTGAAACCCTCCCGCTGTGGGCCCAGTGGAGCCCCAGCCTCGTCCCCTCCACTGCAGTTCCCAGGCTGATAACACTGATGGAGACACAAAACTGAACAGCCAGAAAAGTCATTGTAGGGAGCCAAACCCTCCTCACAGCACAGGGAAGAACACACGGGCTGGGGAAGGAGACAACAGGACCCCAGAGTTTGGGGCTGTTTGAGTGGGAAGTGACTGCAGTAACAACCAGAATGAACAGAGAGAATGGAACCCTTCAGTGGTGCAGAATGGGGAGGGACAGAGCTGTGACTTACATAAAACAACCAAGTAGCAATTCTGTTGCCTGTTCCCAGTTCCTTAAAAGCATCAGGCTCATCTTTCTGTGAACAAAAGGAAGCAGAGTCCATCAGCACTTCCTCGGGGCTGCTCAGAGCAGCCACTGACAGGGACTGGCTGAGACTGGGCTGGGGCAGAAGAAATCATCAACCCCTCACAATGGAATAAGGGAAATACAAGGGGGAAAGGAAAGGAAATTTCAGGAAAGGAAAGGAAATATCAGGAAATAATGTCAGAAAATAAATAACGTCAGGAAATAAAAAATAAATAACGTCAGGAAATAAAAAATAAATAACGTCAGGAAATAAAAAATAAATAATGTCAGGAAATAAAAAATAAATCAGGAAATAAAAAATCAGGAAATAAAAATAAATAATGTCAGGAAATAGAAAATAAAGTCAGGAAATAAAAAATAAACAGAAAATAAAAATAAAAACAAAACCAGGAAATAAAAACAGGAATTAAAAAATGAAAAAAGGAATTAAAATATTAAAGCAGGAAATAAAAAATGAAAACAGGAAATAAAAACAGCAAATAAAAAATAAAAACAGCAAATAAAAATAAAAACCAGAAATAAAAACAGGAAATAAAAATAAAAACCAGAAATAAAAACAGGGAATAAAAATAAAAACTGGAAATAAAAACAGGAAATACAAATAAAAACAAAAAGTAAAAACAAAAACAGGAAATAAAAGATGAAAATAGGAAACAAAAAATAAAAACAGGAAATAAAAATAGGAAATAAAAACTAAAAACCGGAAATGAAACCAGGAAATAAAAATAAAAGCAGGAAATAAAAATAAAACCGGAAATAAAAATAGGAAATAAAAATAAAAACAGGAAATAAAAATGAAAAACCAGAAATAAAAATAGGAAATAAAAATAAAAACAGGAAATAAAAATGAAAACCCGGAAATAAAAACAGGAAATAAAAATAAAAATAGGAAATAAAAATAGGAAATAAAAATAAAAACAGGAAATAAAAATAGGAAATAAAACTAAAACCGGAAATAAAAACAGGAAATAAAAATGAAAAACAGGAAATAAAAATGAAAAACCGGAAATAAAAAAGGAAATTAAAAATAAAAACAGGAAATAAAAACAGGAAATAAAACTAAAAACAGGAAATAAAAATAGGAAATAAAAAATGAAAACCGGAAATAAAAAAGGAAATTAAAAATAAAAATAGGAAATAAAACTAAAAACCGGAAATAAAAACAGGAAATAAAA